CCGATGAATGACCTATCTGCCTTAACTCTGCTTCTTACTACCTGACTCAACCTGTTGGGATGCAAAAAAATCAAGCAAAGTGCAAAATAACCCACACTTATCTAACACTTCATACAAGTCAAAGCTAAATCACACCGCATTTATGCTATTTAATGTTAATTAAATCGCACACAGCGCATCTCACATAAATGTTCATTAAACATTTACACAGACGTGTAAAAATAAAAATTTACCATTTACATTTTGCATAAATATAATAACCATAAGTATAATAAATATAAGCGCAAAATCTCCAAAAACTTGCAAAACTTGAATGTGACTTTCATTATAGCAAAGCCAGGTTTTGAACTCTTGATTCGGCGCCAGAAAGCATCATCTGAACCGATTCTCTTCTACTTCCTCATGAATGCGCGCATTTGGCCACCGATACAATAAACAGACAAAACGGTGCAACTGTGTCCACTGTGCTTACCTCCACACGTTTCAAAACACCCTTATGGTTTTCCACAGCAAGAGGGCATTCTGAGATGGTTAATCGTGTTTTTGTACCACTACCAGTCGGGTTGTAGAGGGAGCTCTCTACAGTTTTTATCCCTTCAGTCGTTTGTTGCTTGAGGTTAGTCTTTCAATAAGAGCGAGCGGTCGCACCGAGCTCGACAACTGCGGCTGTTTTTAGGTGATAAACTCCGGGATTCGGGAAGAGCACGGCGAGACTCGGTCTTAGTTATCGAAAATGGCCATCGGTGTCATTTAGCAAAGGCATCTTCCTCGTTTGATTTTAATCTGCGCAATGCGTTAGCAGAGGCAGTAGAACTGAAGCTGTAACCACCAAAGATGCGTTTATTTTTAAGCTTGTTGCGATATTTCGGATTACATGAGCGATAAAGACCAAGGAGCGAATGGAGGCCGCAGTAATGGGACTTTATTCTCGCGGAACCGGGTCAATGTTTCATCGGCTCGGGTTTGAATTTAACTGCTCGAGGAGGGGCGCGAACGCGGCGATGGGCGCCACTAAAACGTGGCTTACTACCAAAAACCGGACACTTTCCGCTTAAAACACTAAGGATTTCACATTTGCGGATGCACAACTTATGTTTTAAGCCGTTTTGGGTGTGGCAGGACTGGAAATCTGTTAACTTTCAGGGACACGTTAGCTTCTTGGCTAAGTGCGCGTGCAGAAACGGCGGGTTTCTAAAGACAGGAAACAAAGAGAAGAAACAGAAAATGGACGCCTGGCCTAAAGATTGAAGCAAACATCCTGACGTTAAATAATGGCATCTCGGCGAAATGCCGGCTGATATAGTTTAAATAGTGCTTAATAATAGGACTGAAGCCCGAACTTCTGGGTTATAAATGTTTTTTGCTAAATTTTCGATAACGATAGAGGGAGACAAACACCCCCCGCCAGCCGCCTGGACTGGGAGCCCCATCGTGACACCTAGAGGCCGATTAAAGCTCCTGCAAAACTCCCCCCTTTCGGAAAAGTAGTGCTATTTTACCTGCGTTTGATGATTTACTCTCGCGTTGATTTCGACAGAAAGCCCAGGGTTTGTTCTTCCTTCAGTACGAGACGGAGTAAAATTGCGTCCTTCACCTCCGGCGGTTTTAATCCTCTCCCGCTTTTGCAGAGTAGGCTCCGCACAAAATGGCGGCCCTTAGCGACTGTTGCGCATGCGCGTCAAGCAGGGGGGCGGTGGCGAGGGGGAGGGCTGTAAACACAGGCAGTGTCCGGATTGGCCGTGTGGGGCGCTACTTTTGAATTACGGATGTGGGCTCTTTTTTTCTTTTTTGTAACGTTCAGTGAATTGTGGATCCATTTTCTGTTTAATATGACAGCATACGATACTGTTATTACAATATGAAACATATATATATATATATATATATATATATATATATATATATATATATATATATATATATAAGTAGAAAGAAGAAAACTGTTTCCACCTACTAAACTTGGAAATATCAGAAGAGTTAGTGTGAAGGTCTGTATTGTTAAATTGAATTATCGAAAACAGTGTTATATAACCGTCGATAACTAAAAATAAACAGCCTAAATACATCTGAAAGTGGCATTTTTAGTTTTGCTATTGTCATTGTTACATTCCCAGTTGTCTAATAAAAACATTTATATTTTAAATTAGAGAGAAATGTTATTAATTAGCAAAATTAAATAATAAAAGATACATAAAATTGTACCTCCAACCAGTTTACATGTTTTCAGGCATGTTTCTTTCACTAACACACTTTTATAAATTTCATGATGTTATTTTGTACACAAAAATGCAATAAAACATTAATAATTTCACTCAAAAGTATAACTTCTTATGCAGAAATGGACTAAGTGGCTTTTTTTTCCCCCATAGCTCTGTAACTTAAAATTCAATTCCAGACCCGTAGCTAGGGGGGTTCGGATGGTTCACAAGGCTCATCCCTCCACTGATATTAGGTCCAGTACATGAGCACATTTGTCTTATTTTGACTGCTATGCCGTAGGTAGTGCTGTCGCCTCACAGCAAGAAGATCGCTGGTTTGAGCCTCGGCTCAGTTGGCTTTCTGTGTGGAGTTTGCATGTTCTCCCTGCATTTGCGTGGGTTTCCTCTGGGTGCTCCGGTTTCCCCCAGTCCAAAGGCATGGGGTACAGGTGAATTAAGGCTAAATTGTCCGTAGTGTATGAGTGTGTGTGTGTGTTTGGATGTTTACCAGAAATAGGTTGCGGCTGGAAGGGCATCCGCTGCGTAAAAACTTGCTGGATAAGTTGGCGGTTCATTCCGCTGTGGCGACCCTGGATTAATAAAGGGACTAAGCCGACAAGAAAATGAATGAATGACTGCTATGTCATCATAAAGTGTGGAAATACCCCATCAAAGAAGGCATCCATTTAATCCAAACAATTATTTCCCATGAATCTAACATCCAGCTGTGCAAGAAAACATACAATGTGACAGAAGTGAAGTCATCTTTCCCTACAAGTAGACCAAATTTTATTCTGAAATTTGGACCTTATTCTTGAAAGAAAAAGAAAAAAAATAAGGTTTGAAGCACCAAAAGCGGCCGATGTTAAAGTTAATTTTAATTCTAATTAGGCCATTTTTGTTATCCATGAACTTTCAAAAAGTTAAGTTCTACATTATTATTATTATTATTGTCAAAAATTCTTATTCAGAAGGCCAAATTTTGACTGAGGAAAGTTGAATGTGCTGGTAAATTTATGTGACCAATAAATGAAAATAGTTATAAATGACAATACAGATTTTTAAATTTTTTTTTATTTAAATATTTTTTTAGTACCTCAAAAAGTGTGATTATTATCAGGGATGTCCCGATCAGTTTTTTTATTTTTTGCCCTCGAGTCTGAGTCGTTTGATATTCAGTATTTACCAATACCAAAACATGATCTTATACTGCTATAATACATAAAAAAAGTTTTTAAAAAGCGAAGAAACAGATCCAGGACGTTCCTTATTTTCGGATCTGGACACCCCTAGTTATGCTGACCAACAAGCTAATCCAGCTTAAAATAGTGCATAAAAAGTCACTCAAATGCAGTATTTAAATCTCATTATTAAATAGAACATAAGGCAAATAACTGCAAAAAGGTCAGCTTTTTGAGAAAAAGTAACCACCTTTACACCAGGCTGACTACAGGCCTGAATTCATTATTGAAAATGGCCCCTCTTAAGTAGCTTTTCTTAGTGCTTGTACATGTGGAAAATATCAATCTCTAAAATAAATCAGCCAAGTGTAAGTGTTCATAATTTTAATAGTTTCCTTTACAGTTGATGTCAGCAATATCCTTGTCAGACAATATACATATTTAGAGTAAATAAAAAACAAAAATCAAAAGTAAATCACTTCCTTAATGCTGCACAATCTGTAGATAATAATGAAAAATATATTTATTTAAATCTGTTCTGCGGTTTGCAATCCTAAACCACAGTCCTTGAGTTTTAAATTAAGTCTATCTATCTCATTCTCTTGCTCCCCATGCTAATTCGAGGCACTTGTACACTGAAGAGGCGTTTTCTTTGTCATATTTAAGTCTGGAACAGATTGAATTCGTATAAAAAACTAAATAAAATAAATGAACAAACCTTCTCTGGCTCCAACTCTTTCAGTCTAGCAGCACTGGAGAAATGCTCTGAGTCGAACATCATTCAAATATAAAGAGCATAAAGAGGTTGCCCAAACCCATCGCAAAAGGCAATATTCACCATAGCTTTCACTCATGATAATGATGACATCTTCAAAAATACACCACTTTTACATCGCCAGTGCCTTACAAGTGAAGTAAATGGTGAATCAAATGAAATCTGCGCTTGCCATTGAGCATTTCAACATTAAAACTAAATTACAACACAAAACATTTACACTTCCAATGGGATATAGATATATATTCTGTATCAATAAAGCATATGACAGTATAGAATGGCACTGTTACACTTTTATGGCAACAAGGTCCCTATGAAAGTTTGGGATTTATAAGGAAACGCTTCCCATGATTCCCATCCTGCTTTACCAACGTACATTCTGCAATCTATATGTACACACACATATGCACTCCTTACAGACGACCAGTTTCTCCTTGTACTCGGCAGGTAGTCGCCATCTACTTGCATTATTAAAGTGAAAATAACACTTCATCTCCCGTCGCTATCAGTCACCACTTGCATTGCTGAAAAACGTCCTTGAATTGTGAAGGCAACTCCATTGGGCCCAATCATAAGGCAGCACATGTTGTTTATAAACCCACTTCCACATTACTTTACAGTAGTTCATCTTATTAGGCCATGTCCAGAATGTTAATAATAATATACAAGTCCTCTGGTCCAATGATTGTATATAGCATCCGTCCACATCTTTAGAGGACAGCGCTGGCACTCTATCTGTGAGAGTGTGATTTGTGTGTCGTTTAGTGTGTATTTAATAGTTTGTATCTGGCATGAACATGATGGTGAGGATACTTGAAGGTGTTGTTTTTGGCCCGGTTGATTGTGTTAGAACGCTGTACTGGCCATACTGCCGGGGGAGAAGAGCCGGGACATCCCATCTTGTGAGGACTCAAGGTGTCGATGAGCCATCTTTCCCTCCTCACCTGCAATTCAAGCAAAACAAAGTCAAAAAAGAAAAAGGAATTTGAGTTCAATGTTGTGAATTAGTGTTGTGGGGAAAATAGGAATTTTGCATAACTTGTTTTAATTTTTTATTATTCAGAAGGCAAAATTCTGAATGAGGAAAGTTGAATGTGCTGGCCAGTTTGTTATTTGCCCAATAAATGACAATAGGTTACCATTTCTGTTTCATTTAAAACTTTAACTTTTTTGGTACCTCAAAAAATGTGGTTATGATGACCATCCAACAAGCTAATCCAGCTTATAATAGTGGTTAAAATATCACTCAAATGCAGTATTTAAATCTCATTATTAAATAGAACATAAGGCGAACAACTGCAAAAAGATCAGCTTTTTGAGAAAAAGTAACCACCTTTACACCAGGCTGACTACAGGCCTGAATTCATTATTGAAAATGGCCCCTCTTAAGTAGCTTTTCTCAGTCTAAATACATGTGGAAAATATCAATCCTAAATAAATCAGCCAAGTTTTAAGTGTTCATAATTTTAATAGTTTCCTTTACAGTTGTCACTTTATTATCCAGCTGTGCAAGAAAACATACAATATGACGAAAGTAAAGTCATCTTTCACTGCAAGTAGGCCAACTTTTATTCTGATTCTTGGACCTTACTCTTGAATGGAAAAATAAGAATTAAACGGTTTGAAACACCAAAAGTTGCCCATGTTAAAGTTAATTTTAATACTAATTAGGCTATTTTTGTTATCCATGAACTTTCAAAAAGTTAAGCTCTACATTATTATTATTAAATAATAAAGAGACAGGAATTTGAGTTCAATATTGTTAATTACTGTTGTAGGAAAAAATAGGAAATTGCATGATTTGTTTAATAAAGCAACGTTTATATTTCATGTGTTAAGGAGAACACAATATTGTCACCCGCTGAGACTAAACAACACCTGAAGTTGGTCCACTTGTTTGTACGATCATGTATGTTATTGATTGCATAACAATAAATGTACTTGATAAATTTGTTTTTATTGTAAATGACATGATTACCTGGCTGGTTGCCAGCCTATTGAAAGGGGTGGTTCTTGTTTCTAAAAAAAGACCTGGACCTTTTTGCAGTTATTCACCTCATTTTCTATTAAATTTTAAGGTTTAAATACTGCATTTTAGTGACATTTTAAGCACTATTTTAAGCTGGATTAGCTTGTCAGATGGTGATCATAACCACTTTTTGTTGCAACAAAATAAGTCCTTACATTTTTCTCAAAATGCTTACCAAACTATTTTACAGCAAAGTGTTTTTTTCACAAATGTGTACTTAAAGTTATTACAGCTTTATAAATAATGTGATGAGTTTAGAATTAAAAAAAATTAAAATATGCTTGTTTTCATTCATTAATTTTCTTTTCAGCTTAGTCCCTTTATTAATCTGAGGTTGCCGCAGCAGAATGAACCGCCAACTTATCCAGCATATATTTTTATGTAGCTGATGCCCTTCCAGCTGCAACTCATCTCTGGGAAACATCCATACACACTCATTTACACTCATACACTACGGACAATTTAGCCTACCCAATTCACCTGTACCACATGTCTTTGGACTGTGGGGGAAACCAGAGCACCCGGAGGAAACCCACGCAAACGCAGGGAGAACATGCAAACTCCCCACAGAAACACCAACTGACCCAGCCGAGACTTGAACCAGCGACCTTCTTGCTGTGAGGCGACAGCACTACCTAATGCACCCTTGCACATTAGGATTCATATATTATATTAAATTTATACTCAAATAAATTTAATATAACAATTTGTAATCCTGGATCATTTTTTTTATTACTTTATTAGGATAGGACAATATTTGATTAAAAAAAATGTATTAAAGGTGTTTAAATTAAGTACTTAATTCTAAGCAACGCACATTACTAATCCAATACTTGGTATTGATATATTTACATTAAGACATGTAGAAAAACATCACAGAACATGATCTTTACCTCAAATTATAATTATTTTCGTTTTTTTATAAAACAAAATCTAAAATTTTTACACATACAATGTGCAATGTTTGTATCCAAAAATGCGAATGAACTTTATGCGCAAAACTGGATTATCGCATAAAAGACGTGCGAATAAAGCTGCCTTTCCATCCAATGAGTTAAAGCGAACAGAATCGTCACTTCCTGGTTAACTGGCGCCAAATATCAACAGTAAAAACTGAATTTGCTGCAGTAGGAGAAGCATTTGAAGGTGTCAGACGCAGAGCACAGACACTCGCTGGAGGTCATTAATAATATAATTACACTAATACTTAAATGGTAAGGCGTTTTAGAGTGACCAAAACAACATTTCAGATGTTTTATAATGTGCTCAGCCAACTGGTTTGTCCATTCACACACATTTGTCATCACATGATCTCTAATAACAAAATCACATGACCTTTTTTAATGCGCATACTGGAGTTTGTACGGTAGTAGTGTTTCTATCGTAGTTTGTGCGCATCTTTTCTTATCGAATAAAAATTTTATCTTACTCAGTTTTGCCCAAAGGTTTTTTATGCACATTTTCCAAATTTATGCGCATCTTGGCGTTTCCATAAATATTATTTTTGCGCATATCCAAAATGCGCATAAAAATAAGTCGATGGAAAAATAGCTGCTGAGGTCAAGGGTCACATTTAAAATCTAAAAATATTTAAATTTAAAAATAAATTAAACATAATAAATATATGATCAAAAACTATAGAACAGAATTGATGATTCAAAACATGAGAATGAAATATACGAATTGTATAATTTGTTTATGGCCATTTTATCGTTTTATATCTTATTTTATGTATATTGGCAAAACGTTTAAACACATAAATACATACATTCTTAAATGCATGCATATATATTTTTCATAAAAATAATTCTCATATAATTAATCTTTTAATGAAACTTTTGATGTGATTTGATAAATGACTAACATTTAACAATTTTTTTTATTTTATGCTGATGTGTTTAAGGTACAAAACATTTAATGATCTTGCACCACCACTTCTCAAACAATGTGTGATTGTTTGAATATAAGACAGACTAGATCATTGGTTAGAGGTATTTGTGCAGTTAAAGTTAAGAGAACTGCTTTTGAACAATCAGGTTTTTTCAGTCAGGGCAGCAGAAAGATGGAATAAAATAGCAGTGCATTTCAGAGAAAGTACAATTTTTAATCATTTTAAAACTGTTCTTAAAATTTGGCTTAAAGAATATCAAATATGCAACCACTGATTTGATTCTGATTTGATTTCATTTTATTTACTATGATGTATATATTGTACTGTAAGTGTATTTCGTACTATTTTTTAATATTGTTAAATTTGTTACAACTTGCTGTCCAGGGACTACATATGCAAATTAGCTTTATAGCTAACTCTGGCACAGCATGTCATGTTGCACATTGTCCCTGTATAAATAAATAAAAATGTGGACAAATTCAGAAAAAGTGTTCACAGAAGTATTGCATATGCGAAGCCAAAATCTTTCAATAAGGCTTGTTTTTTCCCCAGAAGTTGTTTTCTTCATGATTTAATTCAGTCTGACCATTTTTGAAAACTCATCACATCTATAGAAGAAATTACAACATCAACCTATTTTACATCCAAACAGCGAATTTCACAAAAAGTTGCTCTGATGAAACACATTTTGACTCCATTAGTTCAATTCACAGCATCTCCGTTCTTTTACTTCTATTTCTGATCTTTCCTTCTCAAGTCAATTTCCTGTTGTTTAGTCCACTGCTTGCTTACCTAGCACTAGCAGGGCTTGTTTGGCAGCATCTCTCACATCCTCCTTATCTGTCCGGCACAGATACACCAGCTGCTCGATGCTCTCTTTGGCCTGTGATGCACAAACACAGAAAAGCAGGACACTTCGGTTAAAGTCCTCCGCCACACTGAGATGCTGCTGCATATAATCTGATTGCACATCTAACCAGCGCGCTTTGATGTTATGCATGTGTGTGTATAGGTGAACGTTGTGGGGAAAGAAGAAATGCTGAGCGAGTGCTGTTTAGACATGCATGAGCTGACCTTCAGACATGCGAGTGCTTTACATCCACACACTCGCGTCTCAATGCTTTCATCCTCCAGTAACTCTAGACAGCTCACCAGCGCCTATCAGAGAGAAAGAGAGAGAGAGAGAGCAATAATGAGAGACACTGAGTGGTTTAATCATACTCCCATGTGATTGACAAAAGCATCAGAACTATTGCTTTGCATTTTAAGGATGCTGCATTGTTAACATTTTGGCAATATTTACTTGCATGTCATGGTTATAATCAGTGCTTAATTTGTAAATAGATCATTTCTGGTACAAAAACAGAAAATAAAAGTTCCCGTGACCGATGTCCACCACATAATTTCAGTTTTTCTGGAACATGACGTTACTAAGCGGTTAATTGAAAAAAAATTCTGAACAGTTTTTAACTATTTTGTGCAATATAACGTTAAGGGTCAACAATGGAGAAAAAAACCCAAACAAACAAACATGTAGCTACAAACATAAGTCATGTGAAACGTCAATATCCAGTTTACGAACACTACTGACATTCAGTTCACTATTATGTGCCAAGCAAAAATTACTCCAATCTTCAAGAGAAGCCCACAGTTTCTGGCTGACTTGGGATCGCTTTGCTTCTGTCTCCTGCTATCCTGATCTATTTGTGCAGTTTCTTCTTCTTGAGATCTCTCGATCAGGAACATTATCAGATTTACTCTTGGTTTTAAAAAATAATCTATGCTTGACTGCCTCTGGCATTTTGCAAATGCAAATATTATTTATGTAGGCCTCTATGCCATTATTTATTTTTTTGCTGTTCATTGCACGCGAAACAATAATTACCAACCAATGAGAGTGATTGTAAACTTAAGAAAGCTGACTGGTCGAAAGTGATTACCATTATCTATGTGCGATCCACACAGCTTTGCTCGCTGTTTTTCACTCAAACTCATTCATATTTCTCTCTCTCTCACACACACATGCAGGTATTTACCACGCAAAAGTTAATGCCGGATAAGTTCAAATAAATACCGGATATCTGACATTTGCCGGAACAGGATCCAACAAGATACAGCTCATATCAAGCACATGTTATAATGGTTTTTGGGTCATTTATTATAATTTTTTATTTTTATTATTTACTTTCTGACTTTTGTATATCATAGGTTTTAATCGTATTTAATTATTGCCAAGTTGTGACCACAGTGGCTAAGTTAGGGACTAGTTTGTTAATGGTAAATGTTTGATTCTGTCAGAGATACTGTATTCTATTCTGTGAATCAATAAAACTGTTCATCATTAATAATGGAAATTTAGACAGTATCAACATGTTTTATGTTTATTTGTGAAAATATAATTTAATAATACTATTGAACTTATAACTTATTGAATAATAATAATAATATTAACAATAATAATAATAATAATAGTAAATAATAATATTTCCCAGTGATGGGTTACAGCTGGAAGGGCATCCGCTGCGTAAAACATGTGCTGGGTAAGTTGTTGGTTCATTCCACTGTGGCGACCCCAAATCAATACTGAGCCAAAAAGAAAATGAATGAATGAATACTAATCATAATAATACCAATAATAATAATAATAATAATAAGGAAATGTAAAAGCAGTCATATTATAGTCATATTATAAGAATATAATAATGTATTAATATTTCAAGAAGCTAAATAAAAACAAGAAATGCTACATTTGTAACTGAAATAAAAGTTTACTTTTACACTTTAATTCAGATATTTGTGCATTTCAAGTCATTAATTTTTTTTTTTTTTTTGTTAAACGAACATTTTTATTAAGTTATAAATTATATAGATTGATATGCACACATATTTATATTGGACACACTTTACAAAAAATTAATTATCATGGAAATCCCACTTGATCACATAGATTATTAGAAAAGTATTTCCTCAAATGTATCCCTAAACTTTTATTATAATTTAAAAATGTAGAAAACAGTAATGCTGAAGACTTTGGACTAGTAATTAATAAATAACCATAAACTTGAAATGTCCTGAAATTTTTCCTTGCAAACCAATCAAAATGTTCACAGCAAAAACCCAAAAGAAAGAGTCAGCGGCTCCACTTACCCTCTCCCTGTGCCGGGTCTGGTCTGCTAGACTCCTCAGCAGGGAACTGGCGGCGCTGCACACTTTCCCTCTCGGGTCCCGGAGCAGCAGACTGACCGCCCGCAGACCCTCTCTCTTCAGACTGCACTCCGGGGGCTTCTTCAAGCACTTGATCAGAACATCCTGATCACCAGACTGCAGACACTGAACCAGCCACACTGCAGGAGCAAGAGGAGAACACCGACATTACACACTTTTACATAAAAAAATTGCTTAAAACTTTTGCAAAATTTCTAAATGTTGCTTTAAAATGTATTGAGTGTTTACATGAACTGAGTGCTATGCAAGTAAAAAAATCCCCAAATCATGGTGACAGATATAGGTAGGTTTATTTATATTACAGTCGAGGTATTAGCCATTATTTTTATTAATGGCAAAGAAAGCCCTTTATACTTGGGAGCTGTCACGAATGGAAAGTTATACCACACAATTTTGCAGAGGAATTGTGGATTTAGACTTTTCAGATGTACTTTTTTAGATTAGCACTGCTGTATCTGTTCAAGTGGCCTGGTTTACAGAAGAAAACACACATACAAAAAAGACAAATCTTAACAAAATGATCATGTGACTTTCTAATGTTTATTTCCATTGCATCTTTACTAAATCATTTTTCATACTAAGCACCTACCTCATGCAAGTGCCATTTTATTAGATTTTTTGTTTGTGATATACGGCTGTTTTTTTCAATTCGCAATCTGTGTAAATTTGAAGAGCAATGGACACATAGCTACTAATGAAACAGATACACAGCAGAGTAAAACAGGAGGTGGGGGAGCAGACGAAACCACAACCACAAAGAGGTGATAACAGGGGCGTTCTTAATGCTCCATGTTACTTTTACATAATCACTGTTGCAAATGAATGTTTAAGGAGAAACGCCTAGTCCATTGTGCTTATGGGCCATTACAGCTACTTCACAACAATCTGCAGCTGCTAAACAGAAGTGACCAGACTTTGCCCATTTTCAGTGGGAGTTCTGCATTTCTGATGATGTGATCGTATTCTAGTTTTTTGGTTTTGTTTGCTGCAGTTAATCACATTTGATCCCATTTTCAAAGGATTTCTCAACATGTCCCAGAAGGAAAAGTTTGTTTGGAAATGAAAAACAGGTTGACGTCAAAACCCAACAGCAGGCAGACGTCAATGTCTAACTTCAGGCAATCGTTGCTTTGGTCACTTTCCAACGCAATCTAAAAACAACAAAATATGAACGTCTAATGATGGTACAACTTGGCATTGTGTGGACGTTACCACTATTACATCTATCAGATTTTGGATTTTAACACATACTTGACAAATAAATGTCAGTATTTGACGTCAATATGATGTTGGTTTATTTATACATGCAAGAAAGGTTATTAAATTTCAATATAAGAGTTTTATTTATGATAAATATCTTTATAATTTAGATAAAAGTTTTTAACGTTTTTAAGAACATACATATAAATATACATTACATGAACTAATACATTATAACATCTATGATTAAATAGTACTTGAATACTAATGTTTAAAACATCTATCAAATGAAAAATTTAAGTCTCTTATTAGTGTCTTACCCAAGCTACTTTTACTTTATGACCAATAGAGTAAATATTGTGGAAATACTGTGAAATATTAGTACAGTTTAAAAAACCTTTAACCTATTTTATATTTATGTCTTTATAATTTATGGTACTCAATAGCAGCATTTTTTTTTTTAAATCTTTCTTTATGTTCAAAAAGAAAAAAAGGGAAGGTAGGGTACCACTTGAGAGAGAGTAAATAGTCAGTAAATGTTCGTTTTAAGGAACACTATCCCATTAGGTGTCAAATACATTCAAAAAGACGATGATAGTTAAGAATTAAAATTCAAATAAAAATTCCAATTTTGGATAAATGTTTAAAAATAAATAAAAAGACAAAGGAATTACAATGACTAAAAATAAATAAACAAATGAATGAATAAAAGTACAAGAATTAAGAAAATTGTGTATACAAATTCATTTATACAATGTTATGATGCAAATAAGAAACTCCTTGCTTGTTTGTTACTGTGCCGTAAACTGCTGTCCATATGAAATGCCTCTTTTTATGGCTCTCTTATCTACCTTCTTCAGCCAGCTCAGGAATGTGTGTGTCCAAGTCATTCACTCCCTCTGCCTCCAGGTAGCTCCAAAATTGGAAAAGGGTGAGACTCTCTTTGGATGTTCCTCCTGCACGCCTGGGCAGCTTCCTCTCCAGGATCCTCTCCAGCAGACGCAGAAAAACTAACAACACAGACGGTTAAATGCAGGGATGACAGCTTTCCAATTAATCGTTAACCTTAATAATGCATAATGTGGCACACTGTCAGGATGTGCAAATAACACTCAAAACACTCAAAAGAATGTTGTTTCTCTGTAAATATAAGGGTAGGACTTTAAAAAGAATCAATGATTGACCATTTAATAACTAAATTTAATGATCAATATAGAACATGTCAAAAGCGTTGTCTCAGATGTTCACATTGTGCAGGGTTTCTTAAATTTAAGATATTTTAAGACCATTATGAATTACATTTCAGACTTACAGGGCTTAATGTTAAGGTTTTTTTTTTTTTTAATAACCCAGCTGGAAAAGATTTTCACTTGCCCTATCAAAATGGATCATAATTTAATACATTTAATAATACAATAATAACAATTTAATAATAAAAATCTAGGTCAGGTCAGGATCTTCAGCAGTAAATAAATGGAAAACTTTTAAACAAATGTTACTGTAAATTTAATAAAAAGTTAAAAAGTTTTATTGAGATGGATTGTTGGTGATTGTATGGGTGTTAATAGACAAAGGAACAAAGGAAAATTAAGACCTGATAAAAAAAAGAAAAAAAAAAAAAAGACATACAACACTTTTTAAGGCCTAAAATTGAGCTTTTGAGATTTAAGACTTTTTAAGACCCTGAGGACAACCTGTGTGTGCGTCCATGTGAGTGAGTAAATAGCCTTTGTTATTGTGCATATGTGAAAAGCTCAATGTTTACTTATTACAAGGTGCATACAGTCTATGTATTTTTATACGTAAATGTGTGTTAATATATAGTTATTCGGTTTTTATATTAATTTCAGCATTATTATTCACTATTATGCAAATGTTTACATGATTTATTTACAATAGACTTTGTACTGTACATCTTCTGTCTTTTAGCAGATATATCATAAAGAGACTTATTATGTTTACCAAACAACTGGATTGTATTTGTATTGTAAACCTTAAATAAGTTAAAAAGTTAGTTTTTATTTCATGTTTACATTTTTAGTTATTATATTTTCAAAATCAATTTGCATCAGTTCTGCATAAAATAAAGATTTTTATGCTAGACGATTCTAAACAGAAATAGCAAAGATTCTGTCTGGCCCTACTCATTAGTTATTAAAATTGCAATGAAGTTATTACCTCACTTGTACCTTACATGGATAACATTTCAATATAGGGTATACTACCGGTGAACGGTTCTTGTGACTTTTTTCAATTTTATACAGTTCCTTTTACAGCATCAATGTTGTAATGTAATTAAAATACTATCAGTTAAATCGACTTCAACATTCATTTTGTTGTTTAAGCGTAAAAGGAGATGAAAAGCTGTTTACATGCACACGCTCGTCAGGATCAGCAGGCGAGTGCAGAAGCACCATTAAAAATACTGGAGTAAAATAAATGTTCATATTTTAAAGACATGGCGGGGGGAAATGGAATTTAATGCAGTGCTTCTTAAATGATCCCACTTTATACCTTATATCAATCAGGCAGTGGAGATCGCTGATTTTTAAAGAAAACAGACCTTAACCACATACAATTCACCGGAAGCGCTTGACCCAGGTTACTGCAAGATTGAGTGAGATAATTGCTAATTATTTTTTTAATAAGATAATTAAACATTTGATAATGCTGTCCACAGTGGAACAGTGGCACGACACAGAGGTTATCTAGAGGTTTTACCAACCCAAATTTAAGGTTTTAAAGTAATATAAATGAAATATAAGATTCTTATCACAATTGCATTTATAAAAATGAGACAAATGAAAGAAAAAGAAAAGGACTACAACCAAAATTAATATATAAAAAAGTACTGTTGAAGCATTTTAGTGAGTATTAGAAGTTGCCTAACATGAACAGAAGAAAAAGAGACATTTTTAAGTATTTAAGACCCAGAACACAATAGTTCTGTGATTGTAAAACTCAAAACACAAAATCTGTATTTGCCGTAAAACTAAGAACAATATTAACATCCATGCTAAACTGACCATCGATGAGGTGTAAAGATTATGTGATGGACATTTTATAATATTGATGATCATAAATTGATGATTGACAATTATATATTGATGATTGATTAAGGTTAGTAAAGATCAAATGCATTATAATCAAAGGTCTATTACAGCCATCTGTAATCTGCAAAGAAATTCTTATCTAAAACTTTGCACACTGTCTTTAAAAATGCCTGTGAGTTCATCCTTGGGAATCTTTTGCTCACAGAGGCCGTCTGTGAGTAAACTGGTCATTCTCCAGAGAATTAAAGCAACTAAAAGACAAATTTTTTCTGACTTTATTCAATTTCAGTCTTCATATTAAAATATATTCCTTGTGAACATAAAGAAAATTATTTGCCATTACAATTACAAAGATTATTGGCAAATCAATCAATAATAGATTAAGCACTACCATTAAACCACAATATGATTTAGTCTACAGAAATGCAGACGCTTTTAATTACACCCGGTGTCATCAAAATCAATGACTAGCAGGAGATTAAAAACCTTCAGGAGGTGAAATACAGGAAGTTATGAGTAAGGTTGTAATTCATGTTGATTAATGGATTGTGGAGCCTTTTTAATCTAGAAATCAATCCCCCATTTTAGGGCTTGTTCATGCATTCACACAGACACACACACACACACACACATTTACCTGCATCAGTGAAGCCGGCTCCTCTCTCAGGGAGTCTGCTAGCGTAAGCATCACTGAGCGCCTGTAAGAAGGCCTCAGCGGAGGAGCTGTAGACGCCGCAGCCATCCGTACACTGACGCCACAGCAACACGGCCCCCTGACACTGATCTAACTGAGGAACAACTGCACCAGGAAAACAATGATCTCATGTAAGAACTGTGAGAAAACAGTATATGCACATTTGCAGGGAAATAAGAGTGCTGGTATGTCTGAAACACCACAGATAAAGATTGAAATAATGTAGTGGTTTGATATGAAAGGGTCTCACCTTCTTCTGGTTGGACGTCTGCACCCCTCGAGTCCTTCACGGCCCACCGTATGAGCTCCAGAACTCTTGCTTCTCTGAGAAGTCGGTCTAGAGCATACATTTCTCCACAGCGCAGAGGCCCAAAGGTGCCTAATCTCTGTTAATAAGAGCACAAGACAATATCTGAATGTGGGTGAACAGGCAGATAAAAGAAACGCAAGACATTAGTATCCAATCTAATGAAAACAATGCAGAAGAATGCAGTACTATCTAGTTCAGGGGTATGGAACCTATAGTTCGGGAGCCACATGTGGCTCTTTGACCAAAAATATGTGGCTCTCCAGCTGTCTCCCTTTAATATAAAATTGAAACGGTCCCTAAAAATCTGTTTCCTATTAAAAATCCAATTAAAATGAATTTATATTGTATATATTTTACAGCAAAATGAGTAAGAATAAAATAACATTTCAACCAATGCACATGTGCGGAGCTGTGGTGTAACTTGAATCATGACACCAATAAAAGTCATGTCACTTACATTTCTATGGTAACCTTGCGCATGTAAATTCAAACAACATTCATGAGTGTTGATGGTGAAAAGAAAAAAAATCTATAAATGATCCTTTCTTAATTGAGCCTTGCTCAATGTGATGCTTTATATATACCCCCAACGGCTCTTTAAAAAAATGCATTTGCCAAAAAAATCTGAAATGGCTCTTTGCTGAAAAAAAGATTCTAGACCCCAGATCTAGATCATGCAAAATATATCTAACCCACGACAAAAGTAAAAAGCTTGAATTACTATTACTTTGATTTGTATTTTTTATATTTAACTTGACATTGTTCTATATAATTATTGTATGCAATACTTCTATTTTTTTAAGTAATACTTCTGTTGGCTATAATGTATTTTCACATTTTAACATAAAAAGAAAAAGAACGATGTAACCAAAATGTCTTGAATAAAAAATATATTAAAAAGGTTTTAAAATTGTGACGTTGTCTAATATACTTCATTGGTAGGTTATAATGTTTTACAAATCTGTTTAATGTAATTGAAAAATATTTTGAAAATTAATACAGTAAGATAGCATTAGTTTAGACAGAATATAGTAAAACAGCAATATTTTGAAATATTACTATGTTGTAAAATAACTTTATATATTATATTATATTATATTATATTATATTATATTATTCATTCAATTGTTTTCTTTTCGGCTAAGTCCCTTAATTAATCTGTGGTTGACACGGCAGAATGAACCGCCAACTTATCCAGCATATGTTTTACACAGCAGATGCCCTTCCAGCTGCAACCCATCACTGGGAAACAACCATACACTTTCTTTCACACATATACTACGGACAATTTTAGCTTTCCCAATTCACCTATAGCGCAAATTCTTTGGACTGTGGGGGAAACCGGGGCACCTGGAGAAAACCAACATAAACATGAGGAGAACATGCAAACTCCACACAGAAACTGCCAACTGACCCACCTGAGGCTCGAACCAGAAACCTTCTTGCTGTGAGGCAACAGTGTTAACCACTGCGCCACCACATCACCCTATATTATATTATATTATATTATATTATATTATATTATATCAATTTACATTTTTCCACACCTTCAGAAAATGTATTATTATTAGTAGTATTAAGAATAACAGTAAAATTAATCATAACTATTTTTATCATTTATATTTCTAGGTAAAATGACTAAACTAATGCTTATGATTTTAGTTGGTTCCACAGAGCTTTGATTTTGGCAGAAAACTTCAGGAAAACTGCCATTCTGAAACACTTCTCTTTTGCAATCCTTGAAAGTTTTTAACATTTATATATTTTTAAAACGTATGAACATTTACATGTATTTATGTATGTATTATATCATCTTTGCATCAAATTACAAAAATAAAACATATTTTCATATTTAACACAAATGGAAAAAGAACAAAATTTTTGACACATTCTGAATATTTCATGTTTTAACACATGCGTGTGAGAACAAATGTCTATGAAGTACTCCAAGACAACGACAATACACTGACCAGCAGCTGTGAGCTGCAGTACTTGAGATGAACCAGCAGGGTGTAATCTAGAGCTGGGCAATTTGTACTAATAGGACCAGAAGGAGTGTCCCAACATCTGGCCTCACAGCCCTCGTCCTCTCCTGCACTCTCCACAGCTGCGGGACGCTCCTTAGTGCTGCTTCTATCACAACACACACAAACAAAACAAATGTCAGAGAAAAGGAAAGCAATAGGGCAACGCAAAAAATATATTTACAGAAAAAGAAATTTAGCATTTACTCTTCAAGACACTAGGTGGCAGTAGAGTCACGTAGAAAATATTTATTTTGACTGGAAATGTTGGCTAAACGTGATTAGAATCAACACAGGGTAGAAAATATCTATGGCTATTTGTTAACAGATTTTCTGTCTTCAGTCACTGACCTTTACCAAAATAGAACCAAAAATAACAAAATACCAACAATTTAGTCCTGCTTTTTAAAATAGTTTGGATAAAACCAGACTACAAACACATCATGTATAAACTGTACCTATAAGCTCCAGCAATAGGTCAAATATACCTATACAATGCCTTTATGTCCCCCTGTCATTTGTGCACTGCTTATGTTTCAGCGCTCCCATGTTGCTAGGCAACTTCTTTCACCCAGAGATTGTGGTAATCAGTTTGAGTCACAATGGATAAAAGGTCGCAATTTATGAATGGCATGAAACAGGTATTAGAGGCAGTAAACGCCATGAGTGATGATGAATATGAGGGGTGAGTGTTGTGTCCTGAGTTTGTGCTCAGTATCAGAGTATCAGTATCTAGACATTATACTTTAGAAAGACAGTGGTATAATACAGTGACATCATATATTTTATATATTTTTCGCCATATGAAAGCATAAAAAGCATAAAAACAGCTGGTGGATTTAGGTATATAATACATCTGACCGATCTAGTGTTAAAAACAGCACTTGACAGCAGATTCTCCAGTTCTGACCTGTCTGTCACACTCTGTTTCTCTCCATCTTCCTCCTCCTCCTCCTCCTCTTCTTCCTCCAGGTCTGATGTGTTGAGGAAGTCAAAGCTTTCCAGAGCCGTTTCAACTGTCAAACTGACACTGGAGGAGCGACTGCGACTCCGCGTCTGCAGGTAAACAAACAGAACAGTAATCTATCATTCCCTTAGTCTTCCATATAATGTCAAATGAAACAATCATGATCATTTGATAAATTTTACACTTCAAGATCAATAGTCAACACCAAAAATTTGAAACAGAAACCCCACCAGAAAAATAGATTAATAATAGTTGATCAGGGTGAGCAAGGAACAAGATCATTTGCAGTATATATTTGTAATTTGAGGTAACAAACACACGTAGACTGCAGAGTATTTTGTTAAACACACATTTAAGCATATTATCATATCACTTAGCTTTTTTAATGTGATTTTTCTGGAGTAAAAGAATCGCAATATACTTTATTAAACATCATCTGTATAAGTGGAGATTGATTAATTATTTGCCGTGTTTTCATTTACATTATCAATTCAAAATACAACACAATAGATCTCTGTCAGTTTCTTTTGTCGAGATAAATTAAAATTTAGCATGTATTTTATTTCAGGTTACTCTATCTGGTGGTTTGAATTAGATATCTCACTCACTCCTACTAAAATAAACCTATCTACCACCTAAGCCAAAAAGATTTAGCAAGGCATCTACTCCGTTTGTTAAAATATTTCAATACGATTTTTTATTATTTTAGTATGATTTTTTCCCCAAGTATTTTTGTTCCAGAGTACATCATGCTCTGTGTGTGTGTGTGTGAGAGAGAGAGAAAGAGAGAGAGCTAGAGCAAGCACTGAAAGATACATCAGATTAGAGCTAAGCTCATTAATATTCATGACCATTTCAAATATGGTCAATAAGGAACTTTGATTGTAAGGATATTTTATGAAGTAATAAATAAGCATATTAAACAATTTGTGGAGAATTTCTGAGTTTACCTAAGCCACATAACTACTATGTATATATCAGAGAACAATTTATCTTATTAAATGAATGCAGTATATGGCACCTTAAGGTCTGTGCTGCACTCCCTTACAGTAAATTACCACAAAAACAATAATGTACTTACAATGGAATTTTACAGTTCCTAAAGTATAGCCAGAGCAGCACAGTGGCACAGTTCAAGCCCCGGCTGGGTCAGTTGGCATTTCTGTGTGGAATTTGCATGTTCTCCCTGTGTTCACGTGGGTTTCTTCAGGTGCTACGAGTGCTTCCCCCCCAAGTCCAAAAACATGAGGTATAGGTGAATTGAATGAGCTAAACTGTACATAGTGTATGTGTGTGAATGAGTGCGTATGGATGTTTTCTAGTGATGGATTGCAGCTGGAAGGGCATCCGCTGCGTAAATTAAATGCTGGATAAATTGGCGGTTCTTTCTGCTGTGGCAACCCCAGATTAATAAAGGGACTAAGTCAAAAAGAAAATGAATGAATGAATGAATGAATGAATGAATGAATGAATGAATGAATGAATGAATGAATGAAAGAAAGTATAGCCACAAAAGGCTACTGTGATATAATCGCTAACTAACCTTGTCTATGAAAGTAACACCTAGTCTTTCTTCTGAAACTCCCACTCCACCTTTACAAGTAAAGTGCAATACTGCAAAGGCAGTGTTTGCTTTTTACAAACTGTGGAACAATTATATCTGTTAATCAACAACCTGACAAAAACACTGTCAATAACAGTTTCCTTTATAAAACCCTGGAACATTCAAAAGGCCAGTTCTGGAAAAAGACACACTGTTTAGTCTGTGACTAAGCAGGATGAAGCGGTTAATAATGAAAGCATAGGGTGAGTCTTTGAGGAACTCTATTGTTCTATAGATGAAGACCAAAGCCTTTGGACCCAAACCCGGATCTAAGACTTTGATGGTTATCAAGGGTCTTGCATTTTAGAAACACCCAAAGGCTTCTGCACCCAAAACAAAAGGAATTTAATATATCAGGAAGAGCTACGCCCGGAATCAGTGAAGCCCTCCTGTATGCTGGACAGGACAGAACAGGACTTCACTTTCAACTTCCTTGACCTTCTCCAACTCATAAAAGCGTTCAAATACTGATCCGATATGGCGATTTAGATTTATCTTACCAGTGGTGAAGGCAGAGGTGCATACTAAGTCAAAGAGGCACAACAGATGGGTCACGTTAAAGTAATACAAATACCATGTGGTGTCTAACTATCAAATTATACTAATAAACAAATCCCTACAACGCAAGTGCGTCATACAATATGCATACACATCTTGCATGCTATACAGTGGTCAACATTGGAAGTGGAAAACCTTTTATCAAAGTTGTCCTAAATTTATTGATCAACACTCATTCTTGTCTTAGGATAATTTCAATAATCTTTTTTGATCCACTTCAAATGTTGACTACTGTATACATTACTGTAGACTACTGTAAATATGTATTCTTATACACACACATACCTTTTGGTTTACAAGAAAGTGTGTATAATTACTAACTTACATATTATTATTAATGTGTGTTAGACACATAGTCTTAGAAAGAAAGATTTACAGATAGGTAGACTTTTTTTTCTCTCCAGAAAATAAACAAAACAAAATAAAAATGTCAAAATTGAAAATTAGGGTTATTCCACTAATTACCATTTTTTGTTATAATTCTGAATTTAATATTTTCTATTGTATTGCCTACAAATAAATACAAATAATAAAAATGTAACAATGGGACTTTATTTTTAAATCTGGATGTCAGGAGAGTTTTAATCAACCTTAGAATTAATGTACCCTCGAAGGCACAAAAACTATTTTATAACAGAAAAAAAAGTGAGAGAATAAGAATCAACCAATAGAATTACACAAAAACACATAATAGAATCACGCCACTGACTAGAAGTTGCACTGACAAGTCGACTAATCGACTTTGATGCTCTGCTGTGATGCTTTTTGATTGACGTCGAATAGTCGCTCTGCACAGATCACGTGTTTTTTGACCTGGCATGACAGCTTTACAAACTAAGGTGGTTCACTGAATGAAACTGCCCTCGGACTATTTGAAGTTATTTTATAATGTTATTTTTCTTATGGCAGCATCAAAGATTCACATGAACCTTGTGTGAACTTTCACAAACTCCAGTGTGTGTAAACATTATCCCCAGTGAACGCGGCAAAAATGTGCAGTGAGGAGAATTCGGATAACTAAGATGAGCCAGTGAACGCCTGACTTGAGCAGGATTTGAGCAGCTTTCAAGCGTGTACCATCATAGTGGTAAAACATGCTTATGAGCAAATCTCCAACAGTGTAGTAAAGCTTAACGTTATAGCCTTTGTCTTTTTTGGGTTATCAATAACTTAACATGAATCTGTGTGCTGAGGACGTATGTATTATTTCAGCACTAAAATATCTGTTATTGTTACCAGGGATTGGCACAAATACATTGTAATGTATTTTACATTAAAATACTAAATGCCTCAGTTTTACATGTATCAAAATAAACTACAAAATACAGCAGCCACAACAAGTATCCAAATAAAATACTGTATTTTGTATTTTAAAAAATACTACCAAATACTTTTACAAGGAAGCATAACTTTTCTTCGCAACCTTCAATCAACAGGCATATTTGATCAATCTCTTCACCATTAAAGGTCACCATTACTGACTTTCTTTTATTTTAGCATAATTTTGTAAGTTTATACAGAAAGTCCTGTCTTAAAGATGATCTCTTTAATCATTGTGAAAACAGTGTTTTTAATAAGTATTATTAAATATTTGTGTCTCATATACTGTATTGTGCCAAGTTGACATTTTGTCTTTGACTGTACTCTGCATCTGCACTGCAGATCATCTAACGGCATTTGAAACAGCCAATGAAGTATTGAAGGAATTGCCACTGTAGAACTTATTTGTATGTTGTTTATTCTATTTTCTTGTCATCTACATCAGCAATCAATCCAAAACTATCATTTTTAGTACAGAAAGTATCAATCTGAGGCCGCATTTTTATGATGTCGTCATGTAGACAAGAGACTAAATACAAGACACCAAAGTATTTTGATACAAAATGTTAACCCATTTAAATAAACCCCATAAAATACTAATTACAAAATACTATTTTGTATTTGAAATTTGTATTTGAAATACATACATCATAAATACTGTCCATTCCTGATTGTTTTATTCTTAGGAGAATGTGCACTGATCAATGTGTTGACTGTTAGCAGCAAAATTAGCCTAGGCGCTAATGTCGCATTATTGACGAAATGAAAGTGTTGACAGTGCATATGTTTTGCAGTAAAACTAATCATTGGTAATGCTGCAATGTTTTTGCAACATGTTATGAGCTGTCAAACAGCATGTGTATATATTCCCTGCAAATAAATCGCAAATTGTGGCATGTTGCAAAGCCTTTGCATCTTGTGTTTTATTAGCCCCTTTCACACATACAGACCTTTCCGGAAAATTACCAGCAATTTTCCAGAAAGTTCTGTATGTGTGAACAGGCCCTTTTTGATAATACTGGTAAATTCAGCAATTTTCCGGAAAGAGAAGTTGTAGCATTACCGGTAATTTGCCGAAATGCTGCGCCGGGTGAAAGCAGAAGGAAAATTGCCGGAAAGAGCTTGTTCACGTCTAACGTCTAGAACGCGCTGACGTGAGACATCTACTTTAGCCAATCAGAACACTCAGGCACATTCACATCCACGCTGTTTATAAAAAATAAAAGCCTTTGAATATTTTTCCAGACACATTTAGTTACTAGATGTTATTCAGATAACGTTTCTATGTTCCTTCTTAATGCCAACTGTGTAAAAATTATCGTTAAAATGCTTATGATAAACTGTTGTTTGTTTATCTTCAAGCTCTGCTTCAGTTTCTTGACGAGTGAGGGAGGAAGCCAACACACACACATTATGAATATCTCCACATGTGAAAGTGTTCCTCCATATGTTTTAATATAAGTTGTTCACAATACTTATCCATCCACAGAATTTGTAATGTCGTCAAGTGTGTCAACATTTAGCTGCAGTTTGCGTTTCTGCCTTTGGATGTCTCGCAAAGAAGCTGCATGAATGCTAAAGCTTTAAATAAAAGTGAAACCATCAAGAAAAGGCTGACCCCTTCTAGGTTTACAAATGCAAACGTTGCTGTTTTCAGGTCTTTTCTGGTTAATGATGTCAGAATTTACCTGTATTTTGGAATGGATGTGTGAATGGTCTTTTCCGGAAAATTTACGGAACGTCTGTGTGAACACTTTTTTTATGAATTTACTGTCAAGTAGTTATGGATATTTTCCATATATTTACCGGTGCCACTGTGTGAAAGGTGCTATTAACCCTCTCAAGGCAGGCGATGCTGATTTGCAACAGTTAAAAGCATAGACTTTGTCTGTTTCTAAAATTTTATTTGAGCCTGAAAGGGTTAAAAACGTCACCAGCATCTAGTCCACATCAACTCTACTTTCAAAAATCTAAAGTCGTTCAACCCCTACCAATGACCCTAACCCAAATAGCAAACCCACAATCAATATCAAGACTTTACACTCACCGTGAGAGTCTCCTCCAGCATCTTCAGCTCCTGCTCAAGAACCTGTAGTTCAGGGAACTGGCCTCGGTAATCATCAAGAGAGGATAAAACGCCACTTAGGGCCTCCTCTAGACCATTGTCCACGGACTGTCCTTCCAAACCACCCACAGATCTGCTGTCCACCAAAGAGCCAGACTTCTCTGCCAGCAGATTGTCTGTTTGTGTCTTTGTGTGTTGCGGCTCATGAGAGGAATCAGTTCTACAATCTCCATTGTCCATCTGCTGGGACAAAGCATTGTGGGCAGAGTCTTTATCTCCACAGGTGAGCTCTGAAGCTTTCTCAGCAGCCGTCTCACGAACTACGCTTTCAGCAGGAGAGTGACATTCTGAACAGTTCATTGGCTCAGCAGGACACGATGGCTCATTTGTTGAGGGATCAGGAACAGAGCAGCTCTCCTGAGTGTCTGGTACAACAAAACACAGTTCTGCTCGGTGAGGAACATCCATGGAAATGTCACTATCTAATACCGAAGAGACCGTTGAAGTCACTTCGTCGGATTCCCCAGCCAATCTTTCTGTCAAAACACCATCTGCGCTGATTTCGCTAATATGGCTAAGCGAGCGAGAGTAGCGAGGATGGCCATTGGGCACTTCCGGTTTTGCAGGAGCCTCTGTTGTGACTCTTATGGTGGCTGCTGGTTTCTTTAGATCCTCATCTTCTTCCTCTTCCTCGTCCTCTTCCTTCTGATTGGCAAGGCGGGTGGGAGTAGAGGTGGCTGATTCGCGGGGTGCAAATGAGATTTCGATGGCAGGAGGAGCAGCTTGTACCTCAGGCTGAACCAAGTTTTTGTGAGCGTGACGCATTGCTAAGGAGAGCTGAGGACTGGATGAGTCGTCTGAGGATTCAGAGGAGTTTGACCAGGCTGTCCCGTTCTCCATGTCTTCTTGTCTCCTCAACATGTTCTAGTGAGGACAAAAGAGATTGTGAGGAATACAAGTAATGATTATGATTGTTAAAGAGAAGGCTCTTTCACATGACTTGCACTGATGTTAGTTAAAACTACAAAGACTGTGGACTAAATTGACAAAAAGTACAAATCTGGGGGTGGTAATATTGTTTAAAGTAATTATTTCTATAAGAAGTCTGGTATAAGAGCTATGGCTAAAAATTGCTCAAATAATTCTGCAAATTTCAAAATGCATTGCTATTCTCTCTTAAATTGATTCTGAGCTCAGTTTTTTCAATAGACGGCACTATGCTTTACAAAAAGCCATACTCTGCTAGCATCCAATTTCCCATAAATATACAAACAAAAATAATTATTAATAAAGTAGGAAAGGTTTAAGTGAAATGAAAGAGGGTTTATAGTTAGCTGTTTATATTAATCTGGTGACATACAAGGCAAAGTACAAAAACACACTTTCTTGTAAGCATTTGAGAGTATTAATAAAAACTAGCCTACAGCCCCATTTTAAGCACAGTAAGTGCATTGATTCAAAGACTATTGAATATGACACTATAATATAGACTGATTCTTCTCTGGTGTAGGAGCTCCGATCAAATGTCAGTTTCTGCAGGCTTTGTGTGATTAAAATGTTTAGAAATTAAACTAAAGCGACAGTTGTTGTTTAAAAAGCCTATATTTTGGGTTTTTGAAAATGACCTTCCATGCAATGTTTAACACAGCTTTAAGTGAAATGAAATATCCAGCTAAGGCTTACATCTGAAAGTGCGGCATGTTTAAAACCATTGATTCATCTATAAAGAGTCGACTCAGTGGTTTGAATGAATCGCCGCTATAATGAGTTTTTAGTCATGTCAGCGTGACATTGATACAGAACTCAAACCCCTTCCATTTGTTGCGCACAAAAATCCGGGAAAATTTTAACCCCTGACCCCTCCCACAAACATTGTAAAAAGAAAAAGAGGAAGACAAATACTGTAGCAGTTCCTGGTTGAATCAAGTCACGAAGACGCTGACTTCTGAAGTGTGAGGGAAAGTTATTTTCTCTACCCAAAGATGAGGCTGTGAAGAGTCAGTGGTTCAAGTTTATTTTTGCAAAAATACCTCAGCATTATAGGCCCATGTATAGCCTATGTTCCTTTTATTTTTCTGATGACGCTTCAGCAATCTACACGCTTACAACGGTTTGTAAGCCGTTTGTTAAAGGAAGGATCAGAAAAGACTATTGATGTATGTGACTTTGTCAGAGCTTGACAGGAACTTTACAGTACACAGATCATAGATCAGTTTCTTCCTCCAGTTCACAAGTGTAAGTAAGTGCAATTAAAATGGTTGCCTCCTTGTTTTCTTTGGCTTGCAGATTATGTATCGAATTCAACTGCTTGTACTGTATCTGGTTAACTCTTTATATTCTCATATTGCGTCTAAAGCCACGTTGAAAACGTGACACGTGCCACTTTGTTTTTTGGATTTAAATACTTTTGTGAGCTCACGATTCACTGCCGTTTTTCATTGCTATGGCCACCATCAGCTGTTCCTACACACGTGCGGCATGAGGCAAAATTGTTCAGCTTTTGCCACTGTGTGGATTAATACTGAATGTGTTTCACTGTTATTACTTATGGTTAAGAATAGAGCAAGATGCTGGTGTTAAACTGCACTGCTTTAATGCAGTCCTGCATTGGGCTCACACAACACTCTGCACTCTGACTACTTCAAAATTGTTGATAAGCTGTGGTGGGCATTTCTCTGTCTCACGCTGAACGCAGTCGAGCAATAGCAACAAGCTGGGTCATCGGACCAATCAGCGCAGATAAGCATCGTACTAAGGAGGGGTTTGAAAACAAATGAATGGTTGAACGAATCATATGGGGGTCATTGGGATAATTAGGTAAAAATAAATGCCTATTATAAATGTTTTTTGACCTTGCATGCTTATCAGCCTGTTGCTAAAGACCCCCAAAAACAAAACATGACGTTTTTAAATGCATAATAGGGGCTCTTTAATTTTATTGGTGATTCCTAATATGACAATTAATCGTAAGCTTTGCAAGCACTTTTGAAAAATTATATGTTTCCCTATTTAAACAGAATGCCAGAACATACTGCCCGAGAGATGCTTCAAAGATGGCTGCCAAGTTAAATGACTTGCCTTAAAGGGACTTTGATTAATTCAAGAGAGATTGGCGAGGCATTTTGAAAATCTTCAAATTGATGCAGAATCGATTAATCTAATAATTTTTCAGCACAAAATGCATAGAATACATATTTTTGATATAAAATCCAGTAAACTATTAATTTGAATGACTTTTTATTTATATATTTTCTGAATTTTTAGATTAGTAATTTTGATAATATTGCAGCTTTCCATTTTTTATGTGTACATATAGTTTATTTTTAGTTTTAATTTTAGTTGTAGCTTATTTTTAGGTTTCAAAAATAACATTGACACAGATTTCTGTCTTTCCTTAATCAAATATGCACTCATTATCAACAAAAAAAAATAGCTGCCAGAGATGTCACAAAGATCAGTGAACAACCATGCCTTAAAGAGACTTTCTATTTTCATAAACAGTCATGATGCTTGTGTTGAAGCCCTGATGGAGTCATGTAAAAGTCCAATGTTTAATTCACTAATACATGTAGACTATAAACAGACAGCAGAACAGTTTCTAGAGGGCTAAAAGAGTACAGTAGGGTGACAGGAGTGTGTTCTCCGTCACTCAGCATTAGTGTGTATCTTTGTTCACAAAGAGTCATTACAGTGGAGAGTGGACTGGCGTCAGGCCCAGCACACAAACACACTCCCCGTTCCCTCTAATTAACTCTCTGCCTCGCCAAGCTAATGCGTACACCCTTCAAAACAACAGCAGCATCAGTGAATGCATTATTGATAGTGGTGGATGCTACGATTGTCACTCACAGCCGGACAGACAATGACTAACATGCACAGGAATCCTATTTGCTCTATTTAATTAAAGACAAGTGACAAAAACTACGAGACATCATCACTACAACAGCTATCATTTTCTAGCTAGAGGACAGAAACTACTAATTAACACCATACAATCCTGCTTTGTCACACATTTCTAGTCAACTACTGGCTATTTCCAACTAGCGCTACAGGTCGAGCGCACTTACATGACTGGTAAGCAGAGCCGAGCCGAGGCGAACAGAAGTGACATCACTATATGAGCAGCTTTGAGTCAGTTTCTCTGTCAGTGTGTCTCTGAACACATCCAGTAAGGACCAGCGCTGTTTGGACATCAGGCTACGTGGAGCTGTCTGCATGCAGTTAGCAGAAGAATATGAGCAAGCTAACGCTAAATCTCTTTTCGCCTCAGGTAATCTGACCCAGCAAAGTTATGAGCTAGCCAAACTTCATCTGTTTTATCGAGCTGGTCTGAAATGCAGACACTGTACGTTACTGTGACCACATGAGATGAAGATGCTTCTGAGAAATGGCTACTATTAAGTCCTCGTGGAGATCCTGCTGTGCTAATTTCAATCTTCAGAGGGTCTGGAGAACTGTGAGATCTCCATTAGGACGGGGGAGAGAGAATAGAGGTTTATCGACATTATGGCGGTATGCACTTTGCAGAAATGTTTGGTTTGAATCAATTCAGATTAAATAAATTATGCTCCAATATCCAAGCAAAATAGAGGAATTATGGCAGCTGAGTTAAAGTAGAGTTCAAAGGATTTAAAGAATAGAAAGGTTAAACATGTTTAAATAAAGCTTTTTAATATAGCTAAATATAGTAAATACAGCTAAATATAGTTTAAATATGCATGTTAAAATATAAAACTTAAGAAATTGAAAAGTTTAGTTTCTCAGATAAGTTGTTAATCCGCTAACCCTCCGACCATCTAAGATATACACTCACTGGCCACTTTATTAGGTACACCTTACTAGTACCGGGTTGGACCCTGTTGCCTTCAGAACTGCCTTAATCCTTTGTGGCACAGATTCAACAAGGAACTGGAAATATTCAGAGATTCCAGTCCATATTGACATGATAGCATCATGCAGTTGCAGCAGATTTGTCGGCTGCACATCCATGATGTGAATTTCCCTTTCCATCTGAAAAATGTTTTATTGGATTGAGCTCAGGTGACTGTGGAGGCCATTTGAGTACAGTGAACTCATTGCCATATACAAGAAACCAGTCTGAGATGATTGACACGGCTTGTTATCCTGCTGGAAGTAGCCATCAGAAGATGGCTACACTGTGGTCAAAAAGGGATGAACATGGTCAGCAACAATACTCAAGTAGGTTTTGGTTTTGACACAATGCTCAATTGGTACTAATGAGCCTAAAGTGTGCTAAAAAACATCCCCCACACCCTTACACCACCACCACCAGCCTGATCCGTTGATACAAGGCAGGATGGATCCATGCTTTCATGTTGTTGACGCCAAATTCTGACCCTACCATCTGAATGTCACAGCAGAATACTCATCAGACCAGGCAACGATTACCCAGTCTTCTATTGACCAATTTTGGTGAGCCTGTGCAAATTGTAGCTTCAGTGTCCTGTTATTAGCTGTCCGGAGTAGCACTCAGTGTGGTCTTCTGCTGATGTAGCCCATCTGCCTTAAGTTTGGACGTGTTATGTGTTCAGAGATGCTTACATACCTCGGTTGTGCCGAGTAGTAGTTTGAGTTAATGCTCTTTTGACCTCTGGCATCAACAAGGCATTTGTACCCACAGAACTGCCGCTCATTGGATATTTTCCCGTTTTTTGAATCATTCTCTGTAAACCCTAGAGATGATTGTGCAAGAAAATCCCAGTAGATCAGCAGTTTCTGTAATACTCAGACCAGCCCGTCTGGCACCGACAACCATGCCACAGTCAAAGTCACTTAAATCACCTTTCTTCCCCATTCTGATGCTCGGTTTGAACAGCAGCAGATTGTCTTGACCATGTCTACATGCCTTAATGCATTGAGTTGCTTCCATGTGATTGGCAGAACAGAAATTAGAATTAATGTGAAGGTAAGCAGGTGTACCTAATAAAGTGGCCGGTGAGTGAATATGCTATTTTTTTCCCCAGTAAAACATTAAAAAAGATTTACAGCTGAAACTGTGATTCTTGGAGATTCAATAAAAACTGCCATTACTTTCAGGATAAAAATTGAAGCAAACCAAAAGTAATGCCTGTTGCTCCTGCTGAAGCAAAATGATAAATGTCTAAGAAACTGAACACAATTTACAACATTACAATATTACCTTAAATCCACAGCAAACAGCTTATAACAGTCTGAAGCACAACTTGAACAACTCGAAGGTGAGTAATGACATAATTCTGGCCCTCATTTTTTTGAGTAAACTATTCCTTTTAAGGCATTGAGATGAAAAGCTAAATGCAGAGAATGGGCAGACTCACATAGAAGGCCTGCTCTCGTAGAGAAGGAGTATCTGGAGGACTCTGGTTGTAGGTAGAAAAGCGTTTGTTGACAGTAGGAGCTTTGTTCACGGTGCTGGCTGAAGACGACTGATCATCTTTGTCAAATGGACTAGAGAAGACAAGAGATTCATGTTAGCAGTGCGTTCAGTGAAATCAAATAAAATTATCATTTAATTAAAAGTATAAATCTAATAATATTAAATTAAATCAAATCAGTTGTCAAATTGAATAATTTAGCACTTTCTTAAAATGCTTTGTGATTGTGAAAGGTTGAACTTACTTCCAGGTGACCTCTAGACTGAGTTTGATGGTGCCCAGGTCATTAATATCCACAGCTACTGTTTGTGGCAGTGCAGCAAACAAGTCCTTCGTCTCACACGAGACACTTCCCACCACCACATGATTGGCCAGACTCTTTAGCTCCGTCACCTTGACAAACACATATGAGAAGTTCATTTACGGAGGACACTTCACCATCAGTTTTAATGACCACCACAAACATCTCAAGCTCATGATAATATTAGTACACACAACAGCTTTGAGATCACATTTAATATAATGTTCCTTCTAACCCCCCTGAAAGGCTACTCTACACTGCTTGGTCAACTGGCTGAGTGGTCTGCTGCAGAAGTGGATTGAAACTACTTATTTAACTAATGTACTTAAGTAGATTTTTTAAGTAGCCGGCAGCTTGCTCTTAGCAACTCTTGCATGGTCACCCACTGAAGCTAGGCCTGTGCCTGGTCATTACCTGGAGGGGAGACCACATGGGAAAGCTAGGTTGCTGCCGGAAATGGTGTTAGTGAGACCAGCAGGGGGCGCTCATCCTGCGGTCTGTGTGGGACCGAACACTCCAGTATAGTGAAGGGGACTCTATACTGCTCAGAGAGTGGTGTCTTTCGGATGAGACGTTAAACCGGATGTCCAAAGAAAAAGAGTAGGCCTCTGTTCATCATAGCCTTATAACCATCCTCATATCATAATTGGCTTCATCACTCTGTCTCCTCTCCACTAATTAGCTGATTGTGGTGTGATGTCTGGCACAATATGGCTGCTGTTGTGTCATCCAGGTGAATGCTGCACACTGGTGGTGGATGAGGACAATCCCCCCATGTGTAAAGCGCTTTGAGTGTCCAGAAAAGCACTACATAAACATAAAGAATTATTCATTAATTATTATGATTAAGTATCTTAAGTATCTTAGTATTATTAAGTAGTAATAATACGTTATTGGAGCATTTTTATTTTAGTATTTTACTAAACAAAATATTGTACTTTTCTTCTAAAAAAAAAAGCTGAGTAAAAGGTTATTCTAAAAAGGAAGATATCATCGTAAAAAAGATATTGGTGTTAGATTCATGATCAGTTGAATTGGTTCACAAATTATGTGAAATGATCTGATCCAATCACATCTGTTCTCAATGATTCAGAGCGAGTCTCCAGCTGACAACTAATGATTCAAATGATTCAAACAGTGTCGCTGCATTCCAAACAAGATGTATTGCCCTTCAAGTGAAAAAAACATGGCCCACATATTTAAGTATCTTTCCAAACCGAAGTGTTAAAAAACTAGCCACTTCGAAGAGCCCTTTAGAATGAAGGAGTTTGAAAAATATAACTGATGGAAACTCCCACTTCTCTCAATTCAGAACAGCTCATCCCTATGCTCTAATCCCATCAGAGGGACCCTTGGAAGGGATTAGGTCTTCAAGAATGAGCCTTTCAGATTGTAATCCACCCTAAACCTAAATATTGTAATCCACCTCTCAAAAAGTTAAAACTACCATGCCCAGTGGCAGTGGAAATGCAAGCCTGATAAAGGTGACCTGTTCCGACCCAAGCTGTACTGTACCACTCAGTGGAAACAGGCTATTAGGCTCTTTCTGGTGAGAAAACAACTCACTGATTCAAAGGATCCATTTAGAATGAGTCTGTAGAAAACAACTCACTGATTCAAATGATTCAGAGGAAAGTCTGGTTTATACTTGTGTGTTGAGTGATCGGTCTGACCCACGATGCATGTTTGTGTTGGTCTGCAATAACGCAAGCTGGCAGTAAGGTTTTTATGTTCCACTGTGTCGAGTTTCTTTGCTGGTGTTTTGTTTTTTCTGAATCGTACCTTAATGTAGAAGTAGCTCAAACTGGCTCATATTGAGGCAGGAACTGGCGGACGTGCAACAGCTTTAATTAGAAGGTAAACACAAAACAAAAGTTTCAATCTATACCTCCTTCACGGCACTCGACACTTGTAAACACTCGCTCCAACAGGTTCGCACGACTCTCGTCCCACCCACACTCATTTGCGCTCACAAGCCAACCAATCAGAGCTTGCGCTAGATGTCGTTGCGACATGCTGCACTGGAGCATATGCGTGCACTTGATGCAGAATCATAAATCAGCCTTAAGAGTCATGATTTACTGAATTTACAAATGGATTGAACTGGGTTAAGTTTTATTTAAAAATTAAATACAATATTAAACTTACGTAAATGAATGATCATGGTGCTGTAGCACACAACAGCCATAATTTACAAACATAACAGTTTCTTAGTAAATAAGAATCCTGCAAAAACAAACAACAATAATGATAAAAGATCTCTCAATTTAGTCAGACAAATATTCTACAACTCATCCAAGAACCACTTTTAAAAATTTCCCTTAAAATATTTTAAGTTTTAATCATTTATAAATGTCTAAAATCATTGAAAAATGTTCATTTTTTAATATGTTTGAATAATCAAAACATTCTTGCAAAAGCCACTTACTTGAGTGATACAACCAGGTCATGTATCTTCTTTCATAATCCTAGTTATTTCGTTCATTTTCATTTTTAAAGAAAATGATGCAGTATATTACTCTCAGCTGAGCTAAAAATTATTGTGTCTGAAAACAATACATGTACTAACAAGTATTTCCACATTATGTCATTTCAAGTGAACGATTAGTGTTGTAGTAATCAATCGTTTGCTTGGTTATCAGTCTCTATTTTGTTATAAATCACTAAACCACTATGCCTGCCTCAGAAGTCCATCCAAAATCCGTTTTGTACAGTGCCTGTATCCACAAACTCTGCAAAGTCATTGCTTAATAGGGCAGCGAGGAAGCAAGTCAGCTGCCTATGCTTTTGGACACAGACATGGTTATGCAAAGGGTCATTTTTGATTACACACTCTTCAAATAATGCTGTAAATAAGTCATGGAGTCACATGGCGCTACAAATCAATCGCAACATCCCATTTTACATTGGTCAAGCCCATCTGAAACATTTTGCCAGACATCAGCTGCATTCTCTTCGTTCTTCCCCTGGAGTCTCTCTGTTTTAATATCTCTGTCTTGTGTAAACTTCCTATTCTCTATCCTGTGCTGTCTTCCCTCCTCTCTGTCCCTGTTCCCATCCCCTCATCTGTAGTGATGTGTCATGGAACCATTGGGAGAGAAAAACAAGTCAAAGTCCAGCTGCTGTGCTGTTATGTGCATTAATGTCTCACAGATTGATGGGACCGTGATGTGAATGTCAACGTGACAGGAAGGAGAGACAAGAGATTGATAGTATGTGTGACTCAGTGTGAAAAAAAGAGAAAGAGAGAAAAAAAAACAGACAGTTTTGGTGTGAAAGTAACTGTGTATTCAGATTAAAACTACCTTTATGGACAGGAACTCTGTGATGAGCGGGAGGAAGACCATCTCCTCACTGTCCCACACTTGCTTGCCATTGATTTCAATCCGACCCCGCAGCTTCCAGCGCTGACGACCGTACTTCATAAAGATCTATGGAGGTATTTAGATGAAAAATACATTACAATTGTATTTTAATATGTACAGTATTATTAATACAATTTAATAAGAACAGAGTGCTTCCCACACATAGATTTTACTTGGGCGGGCCACCGAAGTATATTTCATTCATTAATTTTCTTTTCGGCTTAGTCCCTTTATTGACCTGGGGTAACCGTAGCGGAATGAACCACCAACTTTTCCAGCATATGTTTTACGCAGCGCATGCCCTTCCACCTGCGACCCATCACTGAGAAACATCAATACAGACTCATTTACAAGCTCATTTATTCAGCTTTTGTTTTCGCTTTCTAAAGTCATCGTTAATTATGTGTTTTTGCTTTACATTTTTATTTTAAGCCTGATTTACTTTCACTTGGTTTCGCAGTTGATAGCACGCAAGAGCGAGAGAAACATTAAACAATTCATTCTTTGATCTAACTGTCTCGGATAAACGTATCTATAAATGCAGAGAGGACAAAATTACTTTTAAACTGGTTGCAAAATATCTGTACACCATTAGAAATGGTCTGTTTTTATTTCTTTGTGTCATTTATTTCTCATTTGCTGTATATTTTTCTAATTTGATGATATTGATAAATTACATATTTCATAGATATCTAACATGCTTTGGCAATACTGTACAAAATATCAGCAGCAGATTTTACCTGGCTGCACCTGAACAGAATAAAAGTAAAACAATTAGTAAATTTCTTTCTTTGATAACTTCAACCCATTGAAAAGAAAAAGTGAAAAACCATGTCATAATGTAAAAAAATATTGTTAAAAAACTTTTTTTGTCACATAGTTAACCATGTGCTGTGGATAAAAGGTGTGTTTCAATCTGGCTACCACCACAAGTATATTTCAAGCCTGTGTAAGTACTGAAGCAACAAAATTATTATTATTATTAATATAATCATAATTTTTGTTGTTGATTAGGAAAGTTATCAAAACTTACACTGCTGGCAACCATATTTTATAAAGATCTTTGTAGGTATTAAAAGTAATTACCTATTAAATAAACATTTAGCTAAATTATTTGCTTATTATACAAGTAATAACATTAATAATCACAATAATTTATCTTTATATGTAGTTTTAGAACATACATAATTATTTAGAAATTTCAATTATATGAATAACTGAGATTTTACTGGAATATGAAACTACATAAAATAGATAATATTCCTGAAAAATGTATCCTTTAAATAATTATTTTAACACAACAACCAGCTTGTTTTTACAGAATAAAGCTTCCGTTTTGTACAGTGCCTGTATCCACAAACTCTGCAAAGTCATTGCTTAATAGGGCAGCGAGGAAGCAAGTCAGCTGCCTATGCTTTTGGACACAGACATGGTTATGCAAAGGGTCATTTTTGATTACACGCTCTTCAAATAATGCTGTAAATAAGTCATGGAGTCACATGGCGCTACAAATCAATCGCAACATCCCATTTTACATTGGTCAAGCCCATCTGAAACATTTTGCCAGACATCAGCTGCATTCTCTTCGTTCTTCCCCTGGAGTCTCTCTGTTTTAATATCTCTGTCTTGTGTAAACTTCCTTTTCTCTATCCTGTGCTGTCTTCCCTCCTCTCTGTCCCTGTTCCCATCCCCTCATCTGTAGTGATGTGTCATGGAACCATTGGGAGAGAAAAACAAGTCAAAGTCCAGCTGCTGTGCTGTTATGTGCATTAATGTCTCACAGATTGATGGGACCGTGATGTGAATGTCAACGTGACAGGAAGGAGAGACAAGAGATTGATAGTATGTGTGACTCAGTGTGAAAAAAAGGGAAAGAGAGAAAAAAAACAGACAGTTTTGGTGTGAAAGTAACTGTATATTCAGATTAAAACTACCTTTATGGACAGGAACTCTGTGATGAGCGGGAGGAAGACCATCTCCTCACTGTCCCACACTTGCTTGCCATTGATTTCAATCCGACCCCGCAGCTTCCATCTCTGACGACCGTACTTCATAAAGATCTATGGAGGTATTTAGATGAAAAATACATTACAATTGTATTTTAATAAGTACAGTATTATTAATACAATTTAATAAGAACAGAGTGCTTCCCACACATAGATTTTACTTGGGCGGGCCACCTAAGTATATTTCATTCATTCATTTTCTTTTCGGCTTAGTCCCTTTATTGACCTGGGGTAACAATAGCGGAATGAACCACCAACTTTTCCAGCATATGTTTTACGCAGCGCATGCCCTTCCACCTGCGACCCATCACTGAGAAACATCAATACAGACTCATTTACAAGCTCATTTATTCAGCTTTTGTTTTCGCTTTCTAAAGTCATCGTTAATTATGTGTGTTTTTGCTTTACATTTTTATTTTAAGCCTGATTTACTTTCACTTGGTTTCGCAGTTGATAGTGCGCAAGAGCGAGAGAAACATTAAACAATTCATTCTTTGATCTAACTGTCTCGGATAAACGTATCTATAAATGCAGAGAGGACGAAATTACTTTTAAACTGGTTGCAAAATATCTGTACACCATTATAAATGGTCTGTTTTTATTTCTTTGTGTCATTTATTTCTCATTTGCTGTATATTTTTCTAATTTGATGATATTGATAAATTACATATTTCATAGATATCTAACATGCTTTGGCAATACTGTACAAAATATCAGCAGCAGATTTGACCTGGCTGCACCTGAACAGAATAAAAGTAAAACAATTAGTAAATTTCTTTCTTTAATAACTTCAACCCATTGAAAAGAAAAAGTGTAAAAACCATGTCATAATGTAAAAAAATATTGTTAAAAAACATTTTTTTGTCACATAGTTAACCATGTGCTGTGGATAAAAGGTGTGTTTCAATCTGGCTACCACCACAAGTATATTTCAAGCCTGTGTAAGTACTGAAGCAACAACATTATTATTATTATTATTAATATAATCATTATTTTTGTTGTTGATTAGGAAAGTTATCAAAACTTACACTGCTGGCAACCATATTTTATAAAGATCTTTGTAGGTATTAAAAGTAATTACCTATTAAATAAACATTTAGCTAAATTATTTGCTTATTATACAAGTAATAACATTAATAATTACAATAATTTATCTTTATATGTAGTTTTAGAACATACATAATTATTTAGAAATTTCAATTATATGAATAACTGAGATTTTACTGGAATATGAAACTACATAAAATAGATAATATTCCTGAAAAATATATCCTTTAAATAATTATTTTAACACAACAACCAGCTTGTTTTTACAGAATAAAGCTTCGTTTTGTACAGTGCCTGTATCCACAAACTCTGCAAAGTCATTGCTTAATAGGGCAGCGAGGAAGCAAGTCAGCTGCCTATGCTTTTGGACACAGACATGGTTATGCAAAGGGTCATTTTTGATTACACGCTCTTCAAATAATGCTGTAAATAAGTCATGGAGTCACATGGCGCTACAAATCAATCGCAACATCCCATTTTACATTGGTCAAGCCCATCTGAAACATTTTGCCAGACATCAGCTGCATTCTCTTCGTTCTTCCCCTGGAGTCTCTCTGTTTTAATATCTCTGTCTTGTGTAAACTTCCTTTTCTCTATCCTGTGCTGTCTTCCCTCCTCTCTGTCCCTGTTCCCATCCCCTCATCTGTAGTGATGTGTCATGGAACCATTGGGAGAGAAAAACAAGTCAAAGTCCAGCTGCTGTGCTGTTATGTGCATTAATGTCTCACAGATTGATGGGACCGTGATGTGAATGTCAACGTGACAGGAAGGAGAGACAAGAGATTGATAGTATGTGTGACTCAGTGTGAAAAAAAGGGAAAGAGAGAAAAAAAACAGACAGTTTTGGTGTGAAAGTAACTGTATATTCAGATTAAAACTACCTTTATGGACAGGAACTCTGTGATGAGCGGGAGGAAGACCATCTCCTCACTGTCCCACACTTGCTTGCCATTGATTTCAATCCGACCCCGCAGCTTCCATCTCTGACGACCGTACTTCATAAAGATCTATGGAGGTATTTAGATGAAAAATACATTACAATTGTATTTTAATAAGTACAGTATTATTAATACAATTTAATAAGAACAGAGTGCTTCCCACACATAGATTTTACTTGGGCGGGCCACCTAAGTATATTTCATTCATTCATTTTCTTTTCGGCTTAGTCCCTTTATTGACCTGGGGTAACAATAGCGGAATGAACCACCAACTTTTCCAGCATATGTTTTACGCAGCGCATGCCCTTCCACCTGCGACCCATCACTGAGAAACATCAATACAGACTCATTTACAAGCTCATTTATTCAGCTTTTGTTTTCGCTTTCTAAAGTCATCGTTAATTATGTGTGTTTTTGCTTTACATTTTTATTTTAAGCCTGATTTACTTTCACTTGGTTTCGCAGTTGATAGTGCGCAAGAGCGAGAGAAACATTAAACAATTCATTCTTTGATCTAACTGTCTCGGATAAACGTATCTATAAATGCAGAGAGGACGAAATTACTTTTAAACTGGTTGCAAAATATCTGTACACCATTATAAATGGTCTGTTTTTATTTCTTTGTGTCATTTATTTCTCATTTGCTGTATATTTTTCTAATTTGATGATATTGATAAATTACATATTTCATAGATATCTAACATGCTTTGGCAATACTGTACAAAATATCAGCAGCAGATTTGACCTGGCTGCACCTGAACAGAATAAAAGTAAAACAATTAGTAAATTTCTTTCTTTAATAACTTCAACCCATTGAAAAGAAAAAGTGTAAAAACCATGTCATAATGTAAAAAAATATTGTTAAAAAACATTTTTTTGTCACATAGTTAACCATGTGCTGTGGATAAAAGGTGTGTTTCAATCTGGCTACCACCACAAGTATATTTCAAGCCTGTGTAAGTACTGAAGCAACAACATTATTATTATTATTATTAATATAATCATTATTTTTGTTGTTGATTAGGAAAGTTATCAAAACTTACACTGCTGGCAACCATATTTTATAAAGATCTTTGTAGGTATTAAAAGTAATTACCTATTAAATAAACATTTAGCTAAATTATTTGCTTATTATACAAGTAATAACATTAATAATTACAATAATTTATCTTTATATGTAGTTTTAGAACATACATAATTATTTAGAAATTTCAATTATATGAATAACTGAGATTTTACTGGAATATGAAACTACATAAAATAGATAATATTCCTGAAAAATATATCCTTTAAATAATTATTTTAACACAACAACCAGCTTGTTTTTACAGAATAAAGCTTATATTCTCTCTTACATTCTCTTTCTGCCATCATATTGTTTTTTCTCTTGTATCAAGAAACAAAATGTCAAGCTTTTAAATAACTTTAAACAGATTATTCATTCAAGTGGGTAGAGAAGGAGGCAGGAAATCTTTTGTGTCTGTTTCCACAGTGAAGGCAATGAAGAATGAGTGAGAATAACAGATGGGCCGAATAAAAAAACAAGTCACTGCCACCCACACTCTTATCCATTTCTAGATCTTTTCGAGTCCATTTCTTTTTCTTTTCACACCACCTCCCTCCTGTCACATCTCTTAGGGCTCTTGCTGAGCAGACTGTGCTGACTCACTGCATTGATTGGCCTGTCAATCACTCTGAAGCTCTTGCATGCTAAACAGGTGGAGGAGGAGCCAACACTTTAACATTCACCCCACTTTAATTATCCTCTGCCTCCCTAAATCTGTTCTTGTCTGTGCAGAACAGATGCTGAGATCTGTCTCTTTCATAAACAGACGCTTTCACCCCAAGCTCACTATCGTTATCTGTCATATCTGCCACTGACCAAACTACAAAGCAGATCACTGATGGTGCCAATGCAGCTTTACGAGGACATGATGGATGTAAAGAGGAAAGTCAACATGAAAGACTTACAATCCATTTTACTCAAGTGATGTGACTAGATTTTATGCCTTAGGGATTCCATACAGAAATCAAGTGAATGCAAGTCAACTTTAGAGCTAACTAATATGCAATATTTTGAATCATGCAATATTTATTTAAGGTCCTACCAACTGGGAACTAACAGGGATGTGACAAGGCTGAATGTCAAGTTCACTCTCAAGATCTTAGATCTTCATTAGAGTAACAGGCGTTTTGAGGAAATATTCTAGAAGTATGTGTTCATTAGGTTTGTATGCCGGCTATAAAGATAGAGAAGCTGAAGCTCACCTCATACTGATCTCCAGCACATAGACGTGCAAAACCCGCCAAGCCTGAAACAAAGACATCATTATTTAAACGCTCACAAAATCAACAATCGAATAAAAATCAATTCATATCAAAGATGTGAGAAGTATGGATAGAAATATTGGAAATTTCCTTGATCCTTCGACATAAAAAGTTTTTGCACTTTTAAAACAAGTTTCATAGCTTAAAGGGCACCTATGATGAAAATGAACTAGTGTAAGCTGTTTAGACAGAACTGTGTGTAGGTATAGTGTGTCCACAGTCATATTGAAGTGTTAATAATTCTCTTATTTTAAATTTCCTGATGTAAAAATAGAATCCAAATCCTTTCCTTGAGGCCCACGTAACGTAGGAACCAACTGGGATTAAAAGATCTGTTCAGCTCTCTGTGATCATCTGCACCTCAAGAATGACTTTTACAAGTTGAAAACGTTTTTAAAACAAATGTTTGTAATAAAGACCGTAAAATCACTTCGTAATTCTTCATCACAGCCGCATAGTGTCAGTACAATTATAAAAGAAGACGCTTCAATCCTGGTTTGTGGACGTTAAATCAGGTTTATTTTGTACATTAATATAACGGATATCCATAAAGCAGTGTATATTAACATGTATACAGTCACATTTGCCATGCAAAAACAGTGAAAAGTCAAACGTGTGTGTGTGTGCGTGTGTGACTTCCACAAACTTTGTGATGAACCTGTGTGTACAAATATATCAAATAAGTTGCAAAGTTCTTATTGTAGTATGTGAGATCTGCTTCATTCTTGTTTGTCATTGTGCTGTTTATCTATGTCAAGCTACATGCACTGACACACAAGTGGAAACGGTGGGCAGGGAGAACCAGCTCATTTGCTTTAACAGCACAGGCAACACACACAGCTAAAATGTCCTAACAGCTCAAATTTTCCAGATTTAAAAAGCTATAATAAATAATCTGATGGGTGTTTTGAGCTGAAACTTTACAGACACGTTCTGGAGACACAAAAGACTTCTCTTAAATATTGAAAAAGGGGTAAAATAGATGCCCTTTAAAACATTTGGTTTCTGACATACTCCACATGATTGAGTCTGATGACATTTTTAACATTATAAGTGAATCTCAAGTAGCATATTAAATTTAAGCTATAAGGAGCAACGAAAGGGGCTTTGCACCTGGGCCATTCAGTGGCCTTAGGTAAACAGTGACAGCTTGGGAATATTCCTATGGATAAATGTATATGAATATGTGGATTACTATCTAAACTTTTTATGTGAGCTAAATTTAGTAGGATGCGCTATGAATATACGAGTTATAAAAACTTTGTTTCGAGGCATTATATACTTTAATGCTCATGCACCCCAGAACAAATATTGTACATGAACATCAGCCAACATTTAACACCTCATGACTAAATAACAGGCGCTAATCAGAGTGTGCAAACAAAACTGCCAGGGGGTCGGTTTGAAGTACCGCATCAAAAATTGGCTGACCAATGAGACTGGCACTTTTGTTCATATGTCTTTAACTGCTGAAGTTACAGTAAAACAACTTGGTGTCATCCAAGCACAAAATAAACTAGCTGACCACACAGGAATTGCAGATCCTTAAGTTCATTTAATGGCTTGAAACTTTTTCCAGCAAACTTTTGACCAGGTGTTTGCATGCTGTATTGAAGGAGGTTAAACAGAGGAGGAAAATCTTATTCGATGAATACACAAGCAAAAAAAAAAAAAAAAAAAAAAAAAAGGAGGGAGAGGACTTTAGTGCTACAAACGAGTGTCAAAATAGAAAAATTGTGCAGTACCACCTTCTGTACAGGATAGAACTGCATGATTAATCGAAAAAAGATTGCGATCTCGATTCGACGACGATCTTATTTCAGCTGTTCTACGATTCTGCCAATCATATTTTCAGGGTCAGGAGAGAAGCAAAGGCGGCCGCACAAGTCTTCACGTTGTTTTACATAGATTGCTCAGCAACGTGGACACTGCCAAATAGTGTTAAAAGTGTCACATGCTGTATTTATAAGGTAGAATTCACCCAAAAACGTCATTTCTATCTTCATGTAATGATGTATTTGCAGCCGCGAAATCACATGTGACGTGAGCTGATTGTGAGTTGTATCTATATGTATCTATGTATTGAGAGGGCGGGTACGCGCCTGTGACTGAAGTCTACTTTAGTGAACAGAACCTGCATAGGCTGTGAATAACAGGTAATAGAGTTATAAATAACATTCAGTTTGTTGCACAGAGCGATTGTTTGGGAGTCTCACATGAAGTATAAACCGCACTTAGCAGTGAAAATTAAACCGAAAGTGTGCATTTAAATAATCATATCGCATTATAGAGTTATGATTATGACAAGCATTTGATATTTTTTTCTTTCATAGCGAACACAGAGTGTTGTGCATGAAAAAAAAAGCTAAACAGTGTCAGTATAACTACTCTAGCCTATATTTTGTTGAATAAAATGCAAGAGGGAATCTGATAATGACAAATGTCTGATTTTACCAGTAGAAAAAAATAGTCTAATAATGTTGTCAATGACAGATTGCAAGCATATGTCTCAAACACAATAATTGTAATTAAGTCTATTCAAAATTAAGCATTTTAACCTATAGTAGACCACATATAATATTATAGTTGTTTTAACATTTGTTGGAGAAATAACAATGATAAGAGCCTACTCATTAACCTTTATTTTACATCTACAGAATCATGAGAAAATCGTGATCTTTATTTTGAGAAAAGGAATCGCGATTCTTATTTTAGCCAGAATCGAGTACTTCTGTTTGTCATTAAGCGCCCTTTTAATGAGTTTGCACATTCACTTTGCTCACCGCCAGTTAAATAATCAAATGTCAAAAAAAAAGTCTCAAAAATGCTGTGATAAACATCGTACAAGTCTTTAGTATGCTTTAACACCTCATTGGCAAAGTGCCGCCTTCTGGTAACAGGAAATTACATGTTTTACACTACAATGTTCCACGGGCAACGTTAAATGTTGCTAGTTTGATGCATAATGGCATATTTTATGTTCCCAGTCAAACATTACAGTGTAAAACATGTCATTTCAAGTTAGCAGACGTGCAAGACGTGTAAAATTGTGTAAGTTGCTATGGAGTCACACAACTTTAAAAATCAGGTGTAAATTTTTCCCCATCTATTGTATGTGCAAATGTTTGAGCTTTCTAACATGAATTCTATGATGCAAGATAAAACAGAGCAATTTTAAGAGGTCCTCACATCATCTGTGCTCAGACACTAATAATAAAATATTCATGTCATGACCCCTATAAAATCCTCTTGGAGTGGACCATTATGACCCTGGTGGTGAATGCAGAAACTGACTTACCCTTCATTTTGATATGGAATTCCCCCAGCTGGTTCTCCAGCTCACTCTCTAGCATGCACATATTCTGCAGGGACAGAGACAGTGAGTGAGTAAATACACAGAGGATTACAGACTACGTGGCAGGAACAACAGAAATATGCATCTGATGTAGCTCACAACAATACAGTAAACACTGCCTTTTTATCACAAACTACCGATTCCCTTAAAATTCATTTAAAAAGAATACATTGAAAACGATATTACGCAGTACATGGTAAATACAGCGTAGTATTCAGTAAATAGTTTCAGTCAGAAAGATTGTGGACAATCATGGGCATTTCTCTTCCAACAGTTTAACGCTTGTGTCTTGCAGCAACCATTATGCTAATGAAAAGCACTTGACTGGGAAAGGCTGTCCACTCATAATCAGATTGCCTCCCTGCATTATTTCCATGAGCATATCGAATGAGTCTAGTTCTGCCCTGTATCCATCTGTCTGAATGCAAAAAAAAAACAAAAAAAACCTGTAGCCCAAGCCATAATCAGTAGAGTGTAAGTCTCAACTTCCTGACAGTGTCATAAAACTAATCACATTTTCAGGGTCCTATTTTTACCAGAACCATAAATTACAACTCTGCATCCATATTACTCTCTTGATCTTTATCTTACCATGGAAGTCAGAATACAGGTTTTAAATAAAAATAATCCCTAAACTCAGTAAAATGTAACTTTTTTTAGAGTGGGTTTTGTATAAAAACAGAAAGAGGATTTAGTTTGGAAAACATAACTGAAATTATTGGCCCGTTTCCACTGACTGGTAGTTCGGTACGATACAGGTCACCTTTATCAGGCTTTCATTTCCACTGCCAATGTTGCCTTTTTGGTGGGCGTCGTGTACGACAGAAAGTTTTAGTCAATGTCATTCTCGCTCGAGGAAATTTCGCTCAAAGCAAAGCTGTACAGGTCGTTCACATATCATATGAGAAGAATTTCTCACCAAACAGATGCTTTATACACATAAATACTTGTGTATAAATTGTCATTACTAACCTTTCTATTAACATAATTTAATTATAACTGCAGATCAATGATAAGGTGAAATAGCCTACTGTAACGTCTGCGATTATATCAAATAAATAATTAAATGCAACATATATGAACACATACAGACCCTTACAGTCTGTGTGTTCTGTAATTGGTAACATACCAAACCTACACACAGCATACATTTCGTCCTTATTTGGGTTCAAAAACAACACGTAACATATAGCCCACAGTCAGAGCAAACCTCTCATCTGTGTCTTTCATCTTCACCAGCACATGTAAGCTCTGTTAGAAAGTAAATCCTTCATTCCCAGTTCATAATTGTCCAAAAGGAGATGATAAACATGGCAGTTTGTTCATGTTTTAGGTTGCTGAAAGAATCATTTGCTGTTTTGTTTTTTTCTGGCTTTTCCTTTGTTTTTTCATGCTTCACTCTCATGTTTGTCGATTCCTTAAAGAATCGGATGTCAGAAGCACTTCAATAATAACACACACGTTATTATGATCAGCTCAAAAAGTTAGTTATTTCAAATATAGATGCGCAGCAACCTCTCTGGAGAAAGTGAAACCACTCGCACTTTTAGACAGCCTCGTAAAACAAAAGCAGGAGAGGGCAGATTTTGTTCTTCTTGGCTTTGTGGCTGTTCATCAAGACAACGACAAGGTTTGTTCGAGCTCAGGTTGACCATGTATTGTTATTATATTTATATAGTATTACGGTGTAATGTCTCAGCTGTGTTGAAATGAATGTCAGTTTCTTTGTTTTTATTCTACTGCTTTTGTATGCACGAGTGATGTTTCTCTGTAAACCAATAGCGTTCAGCTGCGCGTCTAACTCCGCCTTTTGGTAGCCTTTTGTCGTGCTAAGTTCCCTTTGCAAAGGGTACCCAAAAAGTGGTATGGTACGGTTTGCTTTTGGTATCTTTTGACAGTGGATATGGCCATAAAAGCATACCAAACCATACCGTACCACTCAGTGGAAACAGGCCATTATTTAATATCTAAATAGATTCAGTTCTCAAACAAAGAAATACAGTTTTTATTTCATAAGTGAATTCAGTTCACTGATTAATGTTCATTAACGCCAAACTAAAGTGAATTTTGATTCAGTTTAATATCTTTAGTTGCAGTTCTAAAAATAATTCAGTTCAGTAAAAGTAAACTGAATTGAATTTTAGTTCTGAATTGAATTCAGGTCATCATTAACATCAATTGTAGGTGAATTTTGGTTCTGAAGTGGCTTAAGTTTACTATCTTTAGTTGCAGTTCTGAAGTGAATTCAGTTTAGTAGAAATAATCTGAATTAAATTTCAGTTCTAAAGTGAATTCAGTTCAATAACACAAAATGAAGGGTGAAATTCAGTTCTGAAGTAACTCTCTAGCTCTGGTTCTAAAGTAGATTCAGTCTATAAGGTGAAATGATTCTTTTTGTTCTAAATTTACTAATCCTTATGATTCCTTTTAAACACTCTGTACACCGTTAATCTTGTCTTTGTTCTTGTGTGTACTAAGACAGAGCCCTTAAATCGTTTCCCTCTTTCTCAAATACTGTAACATACTCAAACACTCTTACCTCTGTGTATTCTTTAAAGCTCTTGTTAGCTTCTGACAGGCTTTCTCGAGCCTCTCTGCTGCCGGGAGAAGCAGTATAAGCCTTCACCATCTTATCGGCTCCATCTCTCAGTCTGCGCTGCATACAGTAGGCCTCATACAGCTCATCAATCTGCGTACACACACATACACGTAAACACAGTGTTCATTACAATCAATGAAATATGTTAATTATGTGCAATACATAAATGTCTTCAATTGCAATTCCAGCTGAAAAATCCATCTTGAGGCGCATACTAAAAGATGGTATATAGTTTCTAGCAGGTTATAAAATGGAAATCAATTCTTATTATCTTCTACATATTTTATCTTAATAAAAGAATGTATTTAGTTTTAAGGATGTTAACAAATAGAACACTAGCAATGTATATCAGCTACCATCTTCCAAAACAAAGCTACTACATATGCTAGGTTTATACGTTCATGTGTATAGCGCTTCTAATTCTTGTTTCAAAGCAGCTTTACAAAAGATGCACATTACTGCAGTAATCCGAAAAGTAAAGGCTTTTAGTTAGCATAACTTTATTAGTTACTAATAACTTTAACTAAATAACTAGTAACTAATAGCTTTTAACAGTTAAAGTTATTATACAGTTAAATTCAAAATTATAAGATTAGATTAGATTATTAGAACCTTTTTTTAATATACTTCCAAAATAATGTTTAACAGGAATTTTTCACAGTATTTCCAACAATATTGTTTCTTTTGGAAAAGGCTAGAATAAAAAGTTTTATTATTATTATTATTATTATTATTATATATATATATATATATATATATATATATATATTTTTTTTTTTTTTTTTTTTTTTTAAGTGAATATTATTAGCCCCCTTAAACAAGACTTTTTTTTCTGATTGTCTACAGACAAACAATCATTATACAATGACTTGCCTAATTACCCTACTTAAGCCTTTAAATGTCACTTTAAGCTGAATATTAGTATCCTGAAAAAATGTCTGGTAAAATATTATGAAGTGTCATCATGGCAAAGATAAAAGAAATCAGTTATTAGAGATGAGTTATTAAAACTATTATGTTCAGAAATGCATTGTTGAAGATTTTTATTCCCTTTAACAGTAATTGGGGCTAATATAATTCTAATTCTGTTAATAATAATAATAATAATAATTCTTATTTCAACTGTATATAAACATAGTTAACCTGTAGTTATATAGTACGTAGTTTATTTTCAAATATTTTATGACTAAAGCCGCAGTCGCACTAGATCAGGGGTGCCCAAACCTTTTCTTATGAAGGGCCAAAAAACAAACTAGATTGAGGGTGGTGGGCCAAAGGTAAATATAGCAAACTGTATTACTTTAAAGTTGCTATGGGTAGTTTCCTTATTCATATAATAATAATAAAAATAACTAGAAAACACTGCTTTATATCAACTAATGCAGCTCGATATTTAAGATTTTATAATAAACTTATTTTATTACAAACAAAAACAATACCATTTATAATAGAATGACGTTCAGTGGAGCAACTGATTTTACCTTGATTTGCTCATGTTTTCTGCATAGTCTTCTGTCCTTCGAGTGACAGTATTTATATCTTTAAAAATCTGATCTATTTACAGATTTAATTTAAACATTTAGTTTCAGCTTGCTTATTTGTAGCTGAGCAATAAAACAAACAAACAAAAATTCGAAATGACAATATCTGTTTAAGGCATTTGCCCCAACCTTTCACCATCATTCTCTTCTCTGATGGGATTGAGATTGGTGACCAAAAGAAAACCAAAACGTGACGTCACGCCATTAAAAACATACACCTTTTTTATCCCGCCTCTTTTCGCAGCACCATCCAAACAAATTTTGCATGCTTAAAGTCTAATGTGACCGCAGCTTTTAAGAGGGAGGCACAGTTCCATTGGTATCCAGATGGTGACACTGACCTGATTAACTCAACAAGCGCACACACAGGCACAAACCACAACATCGTCTTGTTAAATCTTTTCTTGCCCAAGCACTTCCTTCTGGGCCTCATTGTCTCTAATATAAGTAATTTAGATTTTATTGATCTATCCGCAACACCTTGAGCAGGTCTCCAAAAGTGGAAGCCCATAATGGAGACAGGAAACTAGTTAAATCTCCTCATTACATCAAGTAAAATTTAAGCAGATGTTCAGAATAACAGACATTATGATCCGAAGCAGAAACTCAGCAATTACTCACAGCACGGGCCCTGCATTCAGAGTTTAAAGAAAGAATGAGCTAGCTATTGTAAACAGTATGGATGAATGAGGAAACAATATGAAAGCTCCGTTGACTTCACTGGAACAATGTTTAGCAGGACAAGGGGGTTGTAACAAGGACTATGACGTTAAAACATTAAAAAGCGATACCCAGCTGAGGATAATCACAGAAAGACCACAGTTTAAGCTCTGCCAAGAATGAAAGGTTTTGGCAGTTAAACATTACTAAACAGGTATAAACTGGTATTATGAGCCCTGTAATTAAACCAAGGCTCTAAAATAAGAAATGTTATGCTTTTTTGCCATTCACTGCTTAAGAAAAACGGTTCATAAATTTAACATTGAATTTCGCAAGCATAGGCATTCTTGTAGGTCCAGTGATAGGCTTATGAATTAAACTGTAATACTGTAACATACTCTATTTGTGCAAAAGACATCTGTTGTATAGTCGACTGTTTAAAAGTGTCAGTAACATTCTTAATCATCTTTTATGCTTAAGTTAAACAAGGTTACATTTATTTGATCAAAAATTCTGAAATACTATTGATTATGACATTTTACTTAAAGTAACCCTTTGATATCCAAACGAATTCAGTCAAGTCAAAATAACCTGAAGTGAATTTCAGTTCAGCAGTAAATTCAGTTCACAAATAATAATCTGTGATTTTTTATTACAAAGATGATTCAGGTCAGTAGTAATCTGACACTAATTTCAGTTCCATAAACAATATTCAGTTCACTATTAATACTCTAAAGTGAATATCAGTTCAAGCGTGAATTCAGTTTACAAACGACAATCTAAAGTCACTTTCAACTTTTAAAGGGCTTCTATGATGAAAATCAACTTTTGTAAGCTGTTTGGACAGAGCTGTGTGTATGTCTCGTGTGTCCACTAGTCTCATTTTTTTTTAATTTCCTGATGTTAAAATATGACGCAAATCACAGAGATTTTGAGCCCCACCGAACGTGACATAGGAGTGTGGTTTTCCCCGCCCACCAAATTGATTGACAGGTGCCATGTTTCTTCAATAACATGTATACACATGTCCACAGAACTTTTTTTGCAAATAAACTGGGATTCAAATATTTGTTACAACTCTGTGTAATTTTAAGACTGTTTTAAAACATTTTTAAAACAGAGCATGTTTGTAATAAAGACAGTAAAATCCTATGAAATCTTAACCGCTATAATCACGATGGCCGCATGGTGTCAGTAATCGCTAATATGTGTTTGTTTGTGTGTGTGTGTGCGTACTCCAAACAGCATTTCTGTGGGACTTATCACTTCAGAAAGGCTTAAATAAGTTCCACCACAAATACATGAACTAAACTAACTTTGTATTTTTGATTAATGAGCTGTATTTCAGCTTTATCCGTGTCTGTCTTGATCACTGACTGCTGTTTATCTGATGTAACGCAGGAGAAGCAGATACACAACATTGGGCAGGGAGAAACAGCTCAATTGAATTTAAAAACACAGGCTTCAAAAACAGCTACATTGTGCTCAGACATTGAAATTGGCAGATTCTGCAGGCTATAACAAATTATCCGATGGGTATTTTGAGCAGAAACTCACACAGACACATTCTGAAGACACCAAAGGCTAATCGTACATCTTGTAAAATAGGTAAAAAAGGTGCCCTTTAAAATGAATTTAGTAGGCTTAAAAATTCAATACTCAGTTCACTAATAATAATTGAACTGGCTACAATTCTCACTAACTTGATTCTTTTTTTAATTCTAGTCAAATGCTCCACATTATATCTGATGATAATACAGAACTGGAAAATTTTCTAAAGCTGGAAGAACTAAATGAAACTCTCACAAACATGCAAAATTCAAAAGCTGCTGGGCCAGATGGCTTTACAGTAGAATTTTTACAAATATTTTAAGATAAACGAATGCCGTTGTTAATTGCTGTACTTAAGGAATCATTTTCTATAGGTTCTCTCCATGACACATTTTATCAAGCGACAATCTCTGTTTACCCTAAAAAAGGGTAAAGACCCCTTTAAATTGCGATTAATTTCGACCTATATCTTTGCTCAAAAGTGAATTCAGTTTACAAACAATAATCTGAAGGGAATTTAAATTTTGAAATGGATTCATTAGGCCTACTCCACTCTTTGGTGTTAGTAAGATGATCAGAATAATACTCAAAATACTTTGTGTGTTTGTTTTGAGTAACAGAACACGGAAATAATTGGAAACTCAAATCTTTTGTAACATTTTAAATGCAGTCACTGTCATTTTGTAGTCAATTGAAAGCATATTTGCTGACGAAAAGTCAAAATAAAAACATAGTTTAGTAGGCATTAAATTTCTAGTTAAATGTGTGCATATTGAGGACAAGTTGAAAAAAAGACCTAATCCTCTGAAATACATTAGCAGCAGTATCCTGCAGAATTACTCGACACAGCAGGGGAGCCTTATACTGAAAGCACACACACACACAATATGGTGTAAATTTGAGAAACACAAACACACGTAGTCCTCAAGACTCAAGGCGAGAACAAGGGCGAAACAGTCTGCAGCCCTTAAAAGGTTTCCTGCAATAATGGAAAGAAGGACGAAGGTAAAGCATAAAGCAAGAGAAGGAAAATCTCCATCTGGAGGTGGTTAGGATTGGTCCAGTGAGTGTGTTCCAGCACCCTGGCAGAGAGTCAGCGGGACAGTCATAAGTTTCACAGAGTTATGACAGCGCCTCTTCTGTCAATACACACTGCAACACAAAACTGATAACAACACGCCTCTTCATTCTCCTCTATTGCAGGCCACAGCTAATGCACTATTTCACCATCCCTGTTTGAAAAAATGCTGTTCACACAGCTTAGCAAAGCCACTCGTGTGTGTGTGTGTGTGTGTGTGTGTGTGCGCGTGTGTGTGTGTGTGTGTGTGTGTGTGTGTGTGCGCGCGCGTGTGTGTGTGTGTGTGTGTGTGTGTGTGTGTGTGTGTGTGTGTGTGTGTGTGTGTGTGTGTGTGTGTGTGCACGTATGTTAACCCACAAACAGCCGATTAGTTTCAGAAAAATATATTTTTGTAACATGTCTGCACTTTTCCTTTCTAAGTGAACCTAAAGTTGTTGATATTGTCTTTTAATCTGTTCACAAAAGTGCTCATTATTGCAGGTGCCCGCTGTGTAATACAGCCTGGGCCAGTATTATGCATAGATACATACCCCTAAATCATAGTGGCATTGACTACAAATAATATTTATAATAAACATTAGGAATGCACTGACAAGAAAAGTTTGGCACACTGATAACGAATAAATGGTTATACATCTTGTTATCCCTCCAGCATCAATTCTTCTAAAGAGCTCATCTGTTGTGCATCTGAGGTGGATCAACAGGCAGAAATAAGCCATTTTTTAATGGCCAATATGTTATTTTTTTATCAGGCTGATAACAATAACATTAAAAAGATGTATTAGTTGATGCTGATTTGGCTGCCAATTTATCATGCTCGATTAAACAAAAAGACTAAAAAACTGTATTACAAACAAAACGGAAACTACTAACATGTGTATGAATTTCATAATAGAAAAACGCTCATTCAGTGCATTTGTGGATGTTTCGCTAGCTTGACATTAACTGCATTATGTGATAAGCCACATTCTTGCAGATGATTGAAAAACAAATCACTTCAAATCAAGAAAATACAGTTTAAGTCAAAATTATTAGCCCCCCTTTGAATTTTTTTCTTTTTAAAATATTTCCCAAATGATGTTTAACAGAGCAAGGAAATTTTCACAATATGTCTGATAATACTTTTTTCTTCTGGAGAAAGTCTGATTTGTTTTTATTTTTTTTTTTGGCTAGAATAAAAGCAATTTTTATTTTTTAAAGCCATTTTAAGGTCAAAATTATTAGCCCCTTTAAACTATTTTTTTTCGATAGTCTACAGAACAAACCATTCTTATACAATAACTTGCCTGATTACCCTAACCTGCCTAGTTAACCTAGTTAAAGCTTTAAATGTCACTTTAAGCTGTATAGAAGTGTCTTGAAAAATATCTTATAAAATATTATTTACTGTCATCATGGCAAAGATAAAATGAATCAGTTATTATAAATGAGTTATTAAAACTATTATATTTAGAAATGTGTTGAAAAAATTTGCTCTCCGTTAAACAGAAATTGGGGAAAAAATAAACAGGGGGCTAATATATCAGGGGGGCTAATAATTCTGACTTCAACTTATACGTTCATTTTTCCTATTTTGTTATGTTATCCCTCCACCAGAGTTGCCAGGTTTGCATTTTTCTAGTGCAAGTTGTGGGTTGCATTTTTAGTATTAATATGCCGCGGCCACTAGGGATGTAACAATTCACCTGACTCACGATTCGATACGTTTCACAATACTAATATCACAATACGAACAAACAAATTTAACAAAATTATATGAAACAAATTGAAGGTGAAGAGCCATTTAATTTTTTTCTGCTGCACATTTTTTGCAAAATAATGCATTTTCTGCCATAGCAAAATTGCTAAAAACAAAAAATAATAATAATAATAATAATAACACAAACTAAAGAAGACTTGTTCGTATAAATTAACAAACTATTACATTTTTGACATCTATTTACATTTTTAAAAAGAAATATCAGCATATCTAAGTTTTCTGGAATAAGCTGAGGTCTGCTGAAAAAAACTCTTGAGTTGGGACTGAGATGGCTGGTGTGGAGAGGAAAGCCTTTTCTAAACCAGAGAACAGTGTGTACAGAGGTGGTCAATAGGCTCTCTGATCCAGGAGATTGGCCACTGGCATAAAACACTGATTACTCATTCATTCATTTATTTATTTTCAGCGTAGTCCCTTTACAAATCATGGGTCACCACAGCGAAATGAACCGCCAACTTATCCAGCATATGCTTTACACAGTGGATGGCCATCACTGGGAAACATCCATACACTCTCATTCGCACACATACACTACCCTACACATACACTATTTAGCTTATCCTATTCACTTATACCGCATGTCTTTGGACTTGTGAAGGACACCGGACATGCAAGCTCCACACCGAAATGCCAACTGACCCTGCCTAGGCTCAAACCAGGAACCTTCTAGCTGTGAGGCGATCATGCTACCCACTGTACCACAGTGACGCCCCAACACTGATTATAAAATGACTAATTATAAACTAGAATAGAGACAAGAGTTGAAGATGATTATGAAGTTAAGTAATTAATATTACTTGTATAATTAATTAGTTTAAGTATCAGTGTGATACACATAAGAAGACAATCTTAAATATTTTTATTATTCAAAAATAATAAGCAAATGATTAAAATATGCATAAACTAATTTGAAAAGGAGATAGTAAAAATAATCTAATACCTGCTTCTGTAACAGAACAGCTTTCTCTTTCAGTTTGAAAAACATCTTCACACTATGAAAACACTAATGCACCGTGTGATCTCTGTAGCACTCGTCGGAGCACACGGAGCTGCAAATCATCCGCTCCGCGCGGTTTGGCTTATCAATAGTTTTTTTTTTTACTTACAGACATCTGTGACATCATATGATGTGCATCATATTCGTTGTTCTGTTACTGTATGTAAAGGTCTTTTTGCAGTATACAGTTAGTGACACATTTCACCACTGTCATTTTACTCTGCCCCCCACCTCTAGCTCACCGCTGATGTGCAGGTAAATGGAGTTTGCACCTGTAAACACAGCGCCCTCTCTGTTCAAAAAATGTATCGCGATTCATTCAACATTTCAACTGATTTGAATCGTCACATATTCTAATCGATTCTCAACCAGCTCATGGTGAATCGTTACATCCTTAGTGGACACCAAAATGCTTCTTACTTGCTAATACAAAATGAAAACTAATTTGTTAAAACTAATTTGAAAACTAAATTAGCTAAATTGTTAATTAGTTCCAACTAATTTGTTAATGGACACTGATCCTGGAATTAATACCTGGCAACCCAAAGACCGCTGCGAGTGAGTGAGTGAGTGAGTGAGTGAGTGAGTGAGTGAGTGAGTGAGTGAATGAGTGAGTGAATGAGTGAGTGAGTGAGTGAGTGAGTGAGTGAGTGAGTGAGTGAGTGAGTGAGTGAGTGAGTGAGTGAGTGAGTGAGTGAGTGAATGAATGAGTGAGTAAAATCGCCTGATGGCACGTCACATATTAAATGGGTGTTTGTTGTATGGAAAGTCAGTCAGTACTTTAAAATAAATACTACATTTACAAGTGTCTTACAAAATGTCAGAGCAAATATGTTAAAACTCTCCTTTTGAGGGAATCCAGCAACTGACTTTGATTGGACAAGGAAATACAGTTTCACTTTTCATTCATTTTGGGTAGGTTTTGAGGATTTTTTTTTAGATCTGGCAACCTTGCCCTCCTCCATTTCAACAGAGGCCCAACATATCTAACCCAGTAAAAGCAGAGAGACTCCCTGCAGCGCCCTCCGCTCATAAAACACACACTAATCACACATGAAATAGGGCTGGCGAGGAAGAAGAGGAAAGAGGAAGGCCTCTTCCTGTAGTGCAGCTGGCTTGGGTTAGTTTAGGCTGTTAGTACAGACTCCAACAGGTCCAGCGGAGGGTTTAACCGCTCCACGAACAAACCAAGAATCTGAGCAGGCCCTGAAGCGGTCCTCTGCCTGTGACCCGTGTCCCCTGCAGTGGCTCAGCATCCATGAGCATGTTTGCAAGCGGAAAGAAAAACACTGTCTAAGAATGTGTCCACAGTGAGGGGGAGGATTAGGCTCGTTGTATATCCTGTAGGTGACTATCTGTCAGGAAAAAAAAGTCCTGATGTACGTGCGCGAATGCATGAGCACAAGCATGGAGAGCTGTTATCAAGGCCACTGGGCCATGCAAGAGCCGTCGTTTGAACAAGAGCAGACCTGCTGAGCTCAAACACACACAACATTGTGTGACAAGTGTGCATAATACATTGTCTGCTCACCGAAATAATACAATTTCTGCTCTACAAGTTTAAGTCCATCTATCTATCCATCTATCTATCTATCTATCTATCTATCTATCTATCTATCTATCTATCTATCTATCTATCTATCTATCTATCTATCTATCTATCTATCTATCTATCCATCCATCCATCCATCCATCCATCCATCCATCCATCCATCCATCCATCCATCCATCCAATTAAACATCATAATTAGCTTACACAACTTTATTTAAAAATGTAGAAATTATTTATTATAATACAATGTGATATTGATTTTATATTGTAATAAAATATATTTTTAATCAATAATGAAGACACAATTTGACAGAATATATTCTGTAATGCTAATTTTGCATTTGCATATTAAAGAAATAATAAGTATATATGTATTATATGTAATTACATTTTCCTTACATTCCAAATATAAGACGTCACATTTTTGTATATTTTCCAACATGTTTTAAATAAAAACTGCTTTTAATAAATATAACTTGGAGTTTTAACACATATTCACACTATTTAGAAGGTTACATTTGATTTTCATAACAGTTAAATAGCAGGCTCACCTTACTAAGATGAAACTCCAGTCGTCTCATAAATCTCTCGATCACTTTCACTTGCTAAGAGAGAACAGAGAATGATATTTAATGCTTAAAACATAATTAACAGTCATCCATAATATAAAATGAGTTCAGGCACTGTTGGTTGTCAGAATGTCAGATGAAAAGGAGGAAGCTTACACTCACCTTGTCAAGTTCATACAAAAAACCCTAGAAAAGAACAACAGCATCATTACAAATCAAACAATACGGAAACGAGCTTGTATTTGTACCATGACACAATTTTAAAGCACCAACACTTACCAAGCGAGAGTTCCTCTTAGACTCCTTCATTTGCCTGTTTAGACCGTCCAGCTCCATCTGATGGACCTGCAGGTATGATCTGCAAAAGTTCAGCATATTATCAGTGTCACAGTCTGTGATTAATGCATTGTGTAAGCAGAACTATTTTATATTAGTTCTAGTGCTGCTGTTGCAAGCAAGCACATTTCCAGAGCTCATATGTTTGTGTACATACTGCAGTCCTCTCTTGAGGGCCTCGTACACCTCGTCCAGCCGCTCCGGCTGGGGCACCTTTGGGGGAGGCGATTTAGTGGAGAGCGTGAACATCCTGCTTGCTCTGGAGGGAGTCTTCCTCACACACCCCGGGGTGCTGAACACTGAAAGACTCCTATAGAATACAGATGAGGCACATAAACCTTTAGCCTGCGTTGGTCATCTTTGTTGGTTAAACACATTTAAAATGCAATGAAATACAAAATTTAATTACCAACACAAAAAAGTTACTTAAAAATAAATAAATAAATAAATATACACACAGTTGAAGTCAGAATTATTAGCCCTCTGAATTATTAGCCCCCCTGTTTATTTTTCCCCAATTTCTGTTTAAGAGACAGAATCTTTTAATTTCTAAACATAACAGTTTTAATAACTCATTTCTAATTACTAATAAAATATAATTTATTTTCTCTTTGTCATGATGACAGTAAATAATATTTACTTCTATACAGCTTAAAGTGACATTTAAAGGCTTAACTAGGTTAATTAGGTTAACTAGGCAGGTTAGGGTAATTAGGCAAGTTACTGTATAATGATGGTTTGTTCAGTAGACTATCGAAAAAATATATAGCTTAAAGGGGCTCATAATTTTGACATCAAAATGTTTTTTAAAAGATAAAAAACTGCTTTTATTCTAGCTAAAACAAATTAGACTTTCCCCACAACAAAAATATTATCAGACATACTGTAAAAATTTCCTTGCCCTGTTAAACATAATTTTGGAAAATATTTAATAATTAAGGCGGGGCTAATAATTCTGACTTCAACTGTTTATATATTATTCGTATAAAACAGTATTCAAATGATTGATTGTATTTAATTACAATTTAATTACAACATTTTATTTTTAATGGTTTATTTTAATTTATTTGAATGTTATTTAATAAAGTGATATATTATAATAAAATAAAACCATTATATAAATTTCTGATTTAAAATTGAATATTTCAAGGGCCTTTTAGTGGAAAAGTCACAGTGTAAACTGGAGGTAATAAAACTGGAAATGGCCAGAACATACTAGCAAAGAGTTACAACATAAAATGTTATATATCTGTTTTTCATCCATGCCCACCCAATCAGAAACTGAAAAACAAGTTAGATGGGGGGTCTTGACATATTAGGGAGTAATACACAATAGTCCAGAAAACCAGACAGCCTCTGTTTTCAAAACTTTGTGTTTCAGTCCTTCTAAACTTAAATGGAACACTAATTTCCATACTCTTTCACAGTTTCTAAACGCTGTGTTCATGGGTCAAAGATACTAGGAGCAGTGTGGACGGCAGGCGAAAAAATTCAACCCCGGGAACAAATGAAATACAGGAATGGAGAATGCTTTTTTCTGTGTGACTGCATCTTTGCCATATACAGTGTAAATGCAGACAAAGAATACGAGTCACTTTTAAAATAAACAGCAAGCGGACTGTCAAAGACATAGGATCATATATAGTATATGTCTTATATGTCAAATATAATAACAAAATCAAAATTGACCATCAAGATCTGCAGAGTAAATGCAGCCTAAATGTTGAGCAAGAATCTCCCGTGTAATCTGTAGAGACCAATTAGCTTCCCATATGTGCTAACAATGTGATTTCTTCAAGACTGCATGTAAAAGGACAGAATGAGCCTATGCCATCTTCGGTTTCATCACGGATCAACCTGTATGCAAATGATTTAGTGACAACACAGACAAAGCTTGATAAAGCAGAGGAGCCATTTATAGGCCCAAAAATCTCTCATCCTTATGATAGCATCCTGGTCCATTAATGTACTGTAGGACTAGCTTTTGTCAGACCAATAGCAGTGTATGTTGGAATGCAAAGCAGTATTATGGTCAGCAAGGGAAATGAACAATCTTTTATTTAAATCAATAGCGCTTTAGAACAACACTCATGCTGATCGATTCAAGCTGCAATTGCACTTCTAGGACGGCAGACAGCTCAATAAAATAGAGAGAAAGACGGATACGCCTTGATACGGTTTGTAGTATGAGGATACAGTAGCAACAGTGGAAGAGAGTTCGACAAGTCTTTGTAAATAACCTAGATGAGGATATTAAATTAAAATATATACCAATGGACAGATTAAAAACGCCTTGCATAAGCATTATCTATTTTTTTCCCTAAATGACGCAAAGATGAAAATAATAAAATCAGTATGATTTATTTGACACATTTAACCCCTAATTACACTATACTTCAGTTAATCTGTTGTCTTCATAGCTTACAAAGGTTTATTCAGTCTGAATATCTTATTCGATGTTCCTACTTGTCGTCCTGATTGAGGTCTTATTTAATTATTTATGCCGTCTCGGTCTCTGCTACACTTCAACAGCAGGGGTTTGAAGAGCGCTGTACATGCTTTTGAATCAAACTACATCAAGCAGAAGAGTCAATGCTCGAGAGCCACTCCGACCCTTTGAAAAATTTACGTTGCCACATTCTACCTCAAATAACAAAAAGTGGCTTACTTATTAAATAGAAGAGGGGAAAAGGAAATTAATAACAAGCTCAGATAAAGCCTATTCCACTGTTTTGTTGGACTGAAGCCTCTTTGTAGCCACTAACAAATGTCCAACCTTTCCTGCTGGCTGCAGCCATTCGGAAATGTATGTAAGCCTTGCCTATGCTTCCACAGGATATCCTGTCAGCTGTGACTTCCCTTTAAATGCCTTTGGTCATTACTGAAAGGACTAACCATATACATCAGTGCTTGCTCCAAGTTAACCATTTGTGTGTATGTGATGCAAGTAAAGACTGTGTGACGTAACTGTGACAATACTGACAATTAGTATAACATTTAGAATATAACAATATTTTAATGTAAACAGAATTTAAAATAAAAATCTGAAAACACACAAAAACATACTAAACTATACCAATAAATATATATATATATATATATATATATATATATATATATATATATATATATATATATATATATATATATATATATATATATATATATATATATACTCAGCGGCCACTTTATTAGGTACACCTGTCTAACTGCTTGCCAACACAAATTTCTAATTAGCCAATCACATGGCAGCAACTTAATATATTTAGGCTTGTAGACATGGTCAAGACAATCTGCAGCAGTTCAAATCGAGTATAAGAGTGGGGAAGAAAGGTGATTTAAGTGACTTTGAACGTGGCATGGTTGTTGGTGCCAGACGGGTTGGTCTGATGATCTACTGATTGGAAAATCGTTGCTTGGTCTGATGAGTCTCGATTTCTGCTGCGACATTAAAATGGTTGGGTCAGAATTTGCCATCAACAACATAAAAGCATGGATCCATCCTGCCTCGTATCAACTGTTCAGGCTGCTGGTGGTGGTGTAATGGTGTGGGGGATATTTTTCTGGCACACTTTTGGCCCATTAGTACCAATTGAGCAACAACACAGCCTACCTGAGTATTGTTGCTGACCATGTCCATCCCTTTATGACCATAGTATACCCATCTTCTGATGGCTACTTTCAGGAGAATATTGCGCCATGTCATAAAGTGTGAATCATCTCAGACTGGTTTCATGAACATGACAATGAGTTCACTGTACTCAAATGGCCTTTCCAGTCAACAGAGCTCAATCCAATAGAGCAGCCTTGGCATGTGGTGGAATGGGAGACTTGCATCTTGGATGTGCAGCCGACAAATCTGCAGCAACTTTATGAAGCTATCATGTCAATATGGACCAAAATCTCTGAGGAATATTTCCAGTACCTTGTTGAATCTATGCCACGAAGGATTAAGGCAGTTCTGAAGGCAAAATTGGGTCCAACCCAGTACTGGTAAGGTGTACCTAATAAAGTGGCCATATATGTGTGTATACACACACACACACACACACACACACACACACACACACACACACACACACACACACACACACACACACACACACACACACACACACACACACACATTTTATAATTATTTTACTACAATATTTAAATATATGAAAATGGTCACAGAAGGATTTCACTAAACACTTTAACACAACTGATTAACTGTAATGTAATGTAAATGTAATGTAATGTGTATTTATATAGCGCATTTATTGTGTATGGCCATACACCCAAAGCACTTCACAATCATGAAGGGTCTCTCTCTTCACCACCACTAGTGTGCAGCATTCACTTGGATGATGCGACGGCAGCCACAGAACAATGGTGCCAGTGGGCTCACCACTTACCAGCTATTGGTGGAGTGGAGAGACAGTGATAGAGCCAATTCGGGGGAAGGGGATGGTAGGGAGGCCATTATCGTAAGGGCCGATAGAGGGACTTTGGCCAGGACACCAGTGTTACACCCCTGCTCTTTCACGAGAAATTTTCACGGTTTAATGAACACAGAGAGTCAGGACCTCGGTTTAACGTCTCATCCGAAAGACGGCGCCCACTGACAGTTAGGACTCACACAGACCACAGGTTGAGTGCCCCCTGCTGGCCTCAATAACACCACTTAAAAACAGCAACCTAGTGTTTCCTAGTGGTCTCTCATCCAGGTACTGACCAGGCTCAGCCCTGCTTAGCTTTAGTGATTAACCTATCTTGGGCTGCAGGGTGACATGGCTGTGGCTTTTAGTGTGGCTGAAAGTTAGTTAATGAAAATCTAATTAAATTACAAATGCTACAGCTGTGTTTGCTATTGAAATATAAATCATACGCAATATTAATAATGCTGTCTCACCGTTTTCAAACAAGTCACATTACAAGAAATGAAACCAGTCTATTGATGATGTGTCATTAAAATGCATTAAAATCAATGGCATTTTCACTTTTAATGCTGAACGTGAGGGCTAAGGCCAAAACATTAAGATCCTAAACGTATCATGAATATTTGATTTCAACCTTAATGCACTCGTGAAAGAACTGCTCCTTATCTTTTGTTTTAAATATGACTTCATTTTTTGGCATGTTAACAACACTGACCTGTAGGACTTGTCGTAGGAGTTGACTCCGGCGAACGACTGGCTTCTAGTGATGGATCTGCCCACGACCCTCCGCGTGGGGCGCACAGAAAGGGACATGGTGGACACAGATTTGGAGGGACTCCCTGCAGACAGATAGAAATAATATATGAGGTCAAGGCATAACAAAAACCTACTGGTAAAAAAGTCTCATCAATTCTAAATGAAAGTCTTTTCTAAAAGTGCAGTCTTTGCATTTTCATTGACAAAAATTTAGCCAATAAAATCTCATCATAAGCCTTTGGTGCAGAGGCCCTCAGGCCCTAAATGAATCAGCAGATTGTTTCATTTATTTTAAAGAGGATATTGTGGTTCGCTATGAACAAACTCTCTGACCGCTCAAGATAAAAGCATTTTAGATTAAAATTGCTGTATTTCCTGGAAACAAACCATCAAACTTAATACTTTTGTTTATATATTAGGCCTTTGGACGAAAAAATGCTTAAACCATTAAACTCAAATTTCTTGTGCAGTTTCAATTGTGCATTTCAAAGCATGTAGAGCACAACTAGTGGGTGTCATGCAACTTAAATGAGGAAAAGCAAGTGATTCCATCCAAACCAAGTGAGGTTTCATATGAAAAAAAACTCACTTCAGCTACAGTGAACTCAAAAGGAGGTAAAATTTCAATTGTGTTTTCACTCTAAATCTAAAAAGAAGAAAATATTATAACCCATCAATGAAAAAAGACATTTAAGGATAGCAAGCCAAGGATGACATTTATATGTTTTATAATTTATTAATCCTCAACCTGTAAGACTTTATTCTAAGTAACATGAAAGATGTTCAGAAGAACGCTGGTAAACAAACTGTTTTGTTCCCACTTATGTTATTATATTTTTTGATCATTTAAAGGAAGTCAATAGAAACTGAAACTGTGATCTTCATTCTTTTGTGCACCTGCACCACAAAACAAATAATAAACCTTAATTCATGCTTAATAAACCTAATTCTCGGCCATGAGTAGGTCTAAGATAATACACAACAGATAATTATACAAGACATCTTTTTTTGTATTCTACTGAATTGTCTACAGAATTTTATTCTAATTAAATAAATATTCCTAAAAAGATTCCTTAAATTAGATTTCTTAAATTATCTTAGCATCACTCCAGTTGTGTCATTGGATTAACTTCTGTTTTTTTATTTAGAAAAATAATTGTATAATAGCAAAAATACTGTTAACCCTAAAAAATAACACCCTAAAAAATACAAATTATTTATATATATATATATATATATATATATATATATATATATATATATATATATATATATATATATATATATATATATATATATAATTTTTATTTTTTAGGGTGTGCTGTGCCCCAGTAGAGCTTTATGTCTAGCAACGCCCTAGATGAGACTCTGATTGGTTTAATGCATGTTATGCTCAAAACACATCTATAACTCATTACGAGAATAAGCACAACCCTGTTAGACCATGCGCCGCAGTACAAACCATATTTGTCTGTCTTTAAAATAGCAAAAGTGAATTCGGGCATGCTCTTAATGCTTTTGTGTCATGTGCTTTAGACTTTGTGTCTAGATCGTTAAAATACAGCCCTATCACTCTAAGCTAATCATAGCTATATATTTTAGTTATATCACCCTGACTTAGTTATGCTGGAAAACAGAGAATCAAATCCTGCTCTTAAGCATAGATAAACAGTTTCTAGATAAGCCATTCGTGAAGTTCCTTGTGTATAATCAGTGAGGCCTGTTATCATTGACCATGTCATGGCATATCAGACATAAAAACACTCAGTGGACACAACGTAGGAGGACAGAGTCAAGATTACACTTAACACCACACCAATCACTGAGGATCTCAGCTAGGACAGGAACCATACGGACCTGCTCAGCCCACAGCTGGGACGATGTGCAAAAAAAAAAAAAAAAAACTGACGAGGACGATATGAGTGCACACAAAAATAGACACTTAGACCAAAGATACACCCGTGGATTAACACAGATAGACTGCTAGTGCAAACAAATCAGTCACATTTATCACCATCAAAAGTCTGAGGTTATCAGTGTAGCGGTGGAAAGTCAGGAGCATGTTACGTGAACATGAAGAAACATGTGCAATGCAGGGTTGGAAATTAATGAGGGCTAATGGCAAGATAAAAAAGCCGGCAGAATTCAAGATAAGGAGGTAGGAATAATGCCACATGCACAAATATACAAAATCTGATGAGTAGTCTCACACGGAATCTGCGCAAACAGAATTCTGCAGATTTCTAGCCCCTCATTGAGTCTATTTATTTACTTGTGTAAATGTGTGTAAATTTATATCTATTCAGTTTTTTTTATTAATTGCAGTAATATTATTGACTAATATGAAAATATTTTTATGATTTATTTACATTTACTATTTTTGTAAAGTAATATTTTCTGTCTTTTTGTAAATATATTATATGGGAAACATGCTTTGTTTACTTAATAAAGTGGATATAATTGCATTTGCATTGTAAACATAAAATACAAATTTAAAAGGTATTACCTTTTATTTCATATATTAAGGTTTTAGTTATGATACTCCCAAAATAATTTGGCAGATTGTTAACACAATGCTGCGCAAAAAAGTAGTTACTGTATTGTGATAAATATCGTTATTAGAATTTGAGTTTATTCCACAATAAAATTTCGCAATACGCAAAAGTTCAGGGTAAGAAAGACAGAGAGCAACTGTGGATGTTTTCAAAAGTTTGCGTCCAATCTGTCTAACTGAAACGGATCACCAATGGTTCTAAAACTAAAACGGCGTCTTTAGCATTTTTAAAAAGGTCTACCTTCATGGAACAAAGATGCTGAAATAGTGTGGATGTCAGATGTAACCATAATAAAGCCTATGTGTTTTGCAAAAGACACCTAATGCAAAGTTCAGACTGCACGATTTTAGCCCTGATTTTGACTCGCTGACAAGTTGAGAAAAAAATCATCAACAAATGCCTGAGATAACTGGCAACTTTGTGCTAATATCGAAGACGCAATCTGGGAGAATCGCCGATGACCCATGGCATGCTAAATATCTGGACCTGTCATTGATTCAAAATCATGTCGTGTGAAATATGTTCCAGGTTAAAATAACATCAGCGTTTACCTACAGCCAATGAGAAAGCAGCATCCGTGTGGGTATCTGCAGGCCAGCGGAAGGTTGGGGGAGGAGTTACGAAGGTATATAGACCACTATATCAACAAGCATGGTTTCGGTTAAGAAAAGGGCTTTTTTTCATTCTATTTGGACCCAAAAATGGAGGAAAAATGAGTAGAAATATGGCAGGAGCACCCGTGTCTGTTTGACATGTCAAAAACGTTGGAGAGAAATAGCTAATTTCCTTCAAAAGCCAGGTGAGCAAAATAAATACATTTTCTACCCCACTAAAGTCTTCTTACTTGTAATGTAGTTAATAACAAAAGATATAACCTTGCCCTGTTTCCATGGCACTTGTCACATGTGTTTGGTTGTGAGATGTAGTTTGAGGAACGAGACAAAGTTTTCTGTGATTCTTCCTATTTTAAAGTCATGCACTGTAAAACCCCCTGTCGCCGATTCATCTTGCAGTGTGAACAGCAGCGACGGAACTGTAGTCATGCAGTGTGAAAACATCTGTTATGTGACTGCTTTGAAAATCGTGTGGTCTGAACTCAGAATAAGCTGACAGGTTTAGTTTTTATGTGCTAAATTATTGTTATTACTTTGATCAAAAGTTGAAAAGTCTTGAAAATCTAATAATAATTTTACAAATGCTCAAAAAGCAATAAACAGGTTAAGCATGACTAACTAAAAAACATTTAATGTAACTAACAAAAATCTACATTTTTATTGCATTTTATGTGTGGCCAAAATATGTGGAATTTCTCCAACCACAAAAACCTATTTCATGAATTATTCAATTAACTGACACTGATAGCCATTATTACAATATCACGAGCAATGATCAACATAACAAAACCTTATAGTTTTCAAATAAGACCACTTATCCAGCACAAAGCATTATGTAACCGCAGCAGCTTGGCTCTGTGCGAACAGGTCGAATGCAGTTACTTTTGTGTTAAATTGAATTAAGATGTAATCTTTCCAGAGAAGAGCAAAGGGAGAGAAACAGGCCATGAAGTCAGATTACAGAGAGATTCAGAGGTGTGAGCCAGCATATCTGAGCCCATGGGGTCATTTAAAATATGGCGTCGACACAAGTGAGGTTTAGTCACCATAATGACCCTGACTAGGACAGTCAGCGCTTGTGGTTTTGATCAGCAACAAAGGGCAGTGCCCTGGACTCAGCAATGCATCACTGGATTAGGGAAGGAAGCTAAAGTTTATTTTAAACCCAAAGCAGAGGAACAACCTATAAGGCTTTCTGCACATTATGAAGATCTTGTGTGTGAAATGCCTCATTTTTTGGTAATGAGGATGCTGAAGCCCACCTGTGACTCTGTGGATCGACTGAAGTATTTCAGCTGTGTGATATCCAGTCAGAGGCCGGCAGAGTTGCTGAAGGCAGAATTATTTGCGCTGTGCCCAGCGAGAGAGCGTCACGGCTGGGGAACAGAGCAGGACATATTCTGCCCTCCTGCCTAAACCTCCACAGAGAGGAAAAAAAAAATCCAGATTGTCTTACTGGGATGATGCATTAGGAACTGGATTAATTTTTTTTTTAAATAAGTTCTGAGCTTTGTTTTTTTTTTTTTGGTTTTATTTTTGTGGATTTGCACACTTTGTTCCTGTAAAGATATTAGTCTTCTCTGAATTACTATATTAAAAGCTTTCCGAAGTAAATGATCAACTCAATTAGCAAACCAACTATAACAACCAAGCTTACGGAGCAAAAAGGATGTCAATATTTCAAAAGCATTACAAGTTTTAATTATTCAAGGTTTCTTTGTTTGTCTGGTGATCAGTGAAGAGTGTAAACAGGTCTGTTGATGCTGAGGGGGAAAAAAAATAAAAAAACTTTTGTGCTTCCAAGTGTGGAGGAGGGGAAACCGTTGAGGGAAGTGGAATTTTTTCATTTCCCGCAGGATATTTAACCGTCTGATGGAGAGAGGAAAGA